TTGACCATCGGTTTCTAGAGGCTGTTCTTTTCGCCCGCCGGTTTCGGGTCGAACTTTCTCACTTGGATCCGACTGCTGTATGCGTCCCCTGGTATGCTGGTAGAAGTGACATTTCATTTTGTCTGGTTCCATTCGTCAAGGATGGTATTTATCAATCCACCTACGGGGATCGAATGTGGCACAAGGCCTTTTTAATGTGGGTATTTCTGAGCCCGTAGGCCCAGCCAAAAATAAATAACCATCCAAACCCGCCGAGGCGGGCCAGTTCCGTCAACCTCCCCAACGAAACCCTACCTTTCGGCGGAGCTTCGTCCGGTTCCTCTCTGCAAGCAGAGAGTTCGACGAACTAAAAACCCGGCAGCTCTAAAGCGCAGATACTACACTTTGATCCTAGCCACCGGGCCGAGCGGGTATTCTTTTTATAGATACAATTCGTTGCATTCGTCAAGGATGTCCACTTTCTCTATTGCTGTACGTTCTTGCGTTGGAACCTTTCCTGCGTAAGTTGAAGACGAATCCGGTCCTTCGCGGAATTTCCTTACCTGGTGCTACCACCTCGGCCAGGTACTCCGCGTATGCTGATGACGTTTCGGTTCTTGTGCCGAGCAGAACCGAAATTAACGAAATCAGCAAAAAAAATCAAAGGGTATGAAATGGTGACAGCGGCTAAGATCAACCGCGATAAGTCTGTTGGCTTGCGGTTGGGTTCGTGGAAGGGAGTTTCTCTTCCCGGACCTTTCAAGATACTCAGCATCTTTTTCGGTCCCAACCTCCGGTTGGAAATGAATTGGTCGGAGATGCAAGAGAAGGCCGAGATCGCAGTTCGTCTGTGGACTCGAAGGAATCTTTCCTTGAAGGGGAGGGCGGAAGTATGTGCCTCGCACATCTACCCGATTCTCCTTTACCGACTCTCCGTGCTTCCACTCCCGTCTGACACTTTATTGGCGTTTGTAAGACTCTTGTTCTCCTTGTTGCGAGGCAAGGCCGCTGTGGTTAGTCGCGAGATCTGTTACTTCCATCCTTCTGATGGCGGTCTGTGGGTGCCTTGCGTTGAGACACGTCGACATACACTTCGCATTACTTATCTAGAACTAATGTGTATGCAATTGGATGAGAACGGCGAATGCTGGAAGGAAGACGTACGCCTCGAGGCGAGGGCTCTTTCTATCGTGAATGATGGCTTACCCTCAAGCGACTCTTATGGGCGAAGGATGGCCTCTCCGACGTCCAGCCGTTGTCCCGTAAGGCATTATATCAGGTGTTAGGGGGAACGTTCAGGATGCCTTGATAGGAGAGCTCGGAGGCTCGCTGCATATGGCCTTGTGCGCCCGGGCTGAAATGTCTCACTAACACTGAGGCATCACTCACCCGGCTGATGATTAGAGGGGCCCTCTGGGTCGCCAAAAGACTTTGTGCGGCGGGTTTGGTAAAGTCGCCCAACTACATTCGCTGCAGTGGGAAGGTGGAGACCCTAGGTCACGCCTTTTTTCAATGTAGTGTCGTAGCTCCGTTGTAAAAGTTTGTTGAAGACATCATGGTTCGCATGCTGCGCGGAAAGTTTTTTGTCCTCGAGGCCAGTTCCGTCTGTAGCAATATAGTACCGCCGTTGATCACTATGTGTTCCTTTGCTTACTGGTGGTTATGCGAGTAGTGATATGGACGACGCGACAGAAGGAATTTCATGTGTCTCGAGAATTTTAACTCTTCCCAACTTTAAGCATCAGCTTGAAGTCAAGATCAGGACGGACAGGAAACGACTCTATCCTTTGCCATTTGGCGAAAGATGGAATTCTGGGAATTCCTGGTTTGAACATTGGCAACCCTTCCCGTGTATCGCTTAGTTTAGGTCGGTTTTTGTTTTAGTTTTCTTTTCTCTTTTTTTTCATAGTTAACTTAGCTACGGTATGTATGCTCATTGGCCCCCTTTAGTTCTGGCCCCAAATTTTTCTTTTGTGTAATTCCCCATCCCTCCCATCGTTAGGTGGTTAGTGATATTGGTTCCCTGGTGCCTTTCGTTTCGAGTATTTTTCGTATTTGTTGTGTTTGAATGAGTGTTTGTAGTGAGTGTATGGCTTGTACGAATGTTTTATATTTTTAAAGTCCTGCATTGATTTCGTCCAGTTAACTGATGTTTCTGTCACAGTTAGGCGGGGTGGGGGGCTGTTATTACTAACAAATTTTTGCTTAATTTCTTCTATATAGTTTTTGTACATATATGTAAATACTCATTGAGGTTTTTAGATTTTAAATTTTATTCCCTTCCCCTATAAACAATGAATTGTAAACATGGGGACTAGTTTAGAACTTTATAGAGTTTCTGAGGCATTATGGTGTTTGTGGAAAGAATGGCAAGTAAGAATGCGTTGTTTTGGTGAATGGAATATTGTTTGTCTGGGTCAGTGATTGTGACTAGCTAAGTTTAATCTTAAGACAGATGATAACCATCCTTTTCCTCATTTCTGGCATTGTACCGCATTTGTACATTTCATGTACAATAAATATAGTGAGCCGATCGGAATCCTTTGAACTTGTCACACAGTTCCAGGCTTTACATTAGAGTTCCTTAACATGATTTCAGCCTGAAAAGAACACTCACTCACACAGCAATATTTTATCACGAACAATCAACTCAAGTTTTCCACATTCAATTTGATACACGAATCTTTGTCATACACTTTCAAGCTCAACGTTAATTATTGCAATTAACATAAACAGTTTAAGAACCACTTACTCCAACTACAGAATATTCTCTTCAAACGACAAGTGAAAACAAGTCAATAAGTGCAATAACTTCGTAAACATTAAAATAAGTCGTGAACAATACTTTTCTCTACTTTAAATACAAACTTGAACTGTCTATTTTTCCTTAAATTACAACAATACCCAAGCACATTTTCTCATTGTACAGACCGTTCAACAACTTATAATCTATCAAAACAGAACTTTGATAACATTTCAATCTAAACATAAAAGGACACTTGAACCTTTTTAAATTACCTCTTTACTCCAGTTGTTTTTACCTCTTGGTTATATAAATATTTTATTCATTGTTGTGCAAAAACTGTCGTTTCTCATGTTTGTTCTTATTCTATGTTTGTTGAATACTAAAATTTTAATGTCAGAGGAAATTGTTAATTTTATCATGCAGCCTATTTACTCAACAATTATTGATCCATATCAATTTTCCTCTGGTGAGATGCAGGGCTGGGAAGCTCACCTTAATTATGTCAAAGCATCAATGATATATAATTTTTTCAATTGGAACAAAGTTGGTTCTTACTATATATTCATAAGTCTATAATGCCAAACATCACAGTTAGGAGGTCATTAGGGTCGCATTCTGTGTCATAACATAGCTGGTCAATGTAGATGCTTGCTTCATTACTAGGTGTCACTCAAGAGTTCTTGTTTTGCCTGCCAGCAGTGTGCTGTGAAGCGCATTCTGCGTTCATGTAAGATTGTAGAAATATCAGAGATGGGTGCATAGAGCCGTGATGTAGTTGGATGTTGTCTCCAAGAAATATTAATTATAGCTCTCAGTATCAAAGTGTAGGTTCTACCAAGCTTAGGCTAGGGTTTTAGCTCATTTTCAAGCAGTGGCACCATACTGCCTCTACAGTGGCTTGAAAAAAATTTCCACTTGAGATTGTCTGGTAGATCATTCAGTATCTGTCAATATTTCTGATATGAGGTATTATGTACACTATTTACATTACTCAGACTATTGTCCTCATCTTTGGCGCCATATTTATTACGTTTCGACCGTTGTACGCTTCAGCCTTCTTCAGGTGGTTGGAATATCAAATTGAACCCTTTATTTCGCTCACTGGGATAGACTGTTCTAGTTCCACGTGGAATGGATGTCAGTTATCTCCTGTTAATTCCCCTCTCTAAGTTCTCCACTACCTTGAACTCAAGTATTGAACCTTGGGGACACAGTGCATAAAGGTGTTAGATTGAGTGACAGGACCCAAAGAGTGTGAGTTCAATAGCCAGTTAAGGCAGTGGAGAACTTGGAGAGGAGAATTAACAGGAGATAATTGACATCCATTAAACATGGCAAGTGGAACTAGAACAGTCTACCCCAGTGAGCAAAATAAAGGGTTCAGTTTGATATTCCAACCACCTGAAGAAGGCTGGAGCGTACAATGGTCAAAATGTTGTAATAAATATGGTGACAAAGATGAGAACAATAGTCCAAATAATGTCAATAGTGGTAGATCATTATATCCATTTTATTCAAGGTGACCTAGGCATTAGCTATGTGAATTTTCACATCCTTTTCAGTAGAATTTATTTTACTTTCTAGATATGCAAAAGATTCAACAGATTTTTATAAGATAGTTTGTATTGAGCTTTGCCGGTTGAAGTCTATGAATTCAGTTTTAGAGACATTGACTGAGTCCAACATCATGACAACATTTTCTAGATGATGTGGTATTGTAATGGTGCCTGCAGTGATAGTGTTACTATTAAAATGACCTAACTAAGATGACCATTATAATCTGCTGTTCACCAACAAACTTGAGCAATGAAGAAAAGATCATACATTTCTTACTAAATTCTAAATAAGACATCTTTTTTACTTTGGTCCCAAAATGTAGATGATACAATGAGGAATTCATAGATCAACATATGCAGAATATGGTATTTCTGATAGTTGAATATATGAAATTAAAATTAATCACAACTATTTTAACACATTGATAAAATTAAAGTATATCAAGTTTGTTTTTTGGATAGTAATCCAAAAACATCAAGAAGATAATTTAGGACATCTGCTCTATTGCAAACTGAACAATGAGAAAGAAAAAACAAAATAATTTTACTCAGAAATTATTAAAAAAAAAAAAAAAAAAAAAAAAAAAAAAAATTCAACAGTTAAACAGTTTTTAATTCTTTTTAAGTAAAACTTTTTGGTTTTGTTTTGTTTTTCAAATATCACATAAAATTTGTAGAGACAACACTGATTTGCCAAGTGGTAATAGAGAGGCTACAGATCACTGGGAAGCAAGGTTAGTTGGCTGTGTTTGTAATCGTTGTTTTCTTGAAGATTCTAATGTCTTAGCCCATTGCCAAATCTGAGCAGTTGGGCAAGACAGACCTCTACTCATTGTTAACAACCTGGAAAAAGAAAAAAAATTTAACATTTTTTTAAACAATGTCCAACAAGATAATTGTGAAATAAATGGACTAAGCAGAGTTTTAACAATATCTGTCATGATTTTTCAAGAAAAACAAGAACAAATATAAAGAACATGAAAAACCTTCTATAAAAAGTTATGCTATTATTTCTTAAAGGAATGACAGAACTAAGCGAGTTGTGTTTTGAATTAAGCAAGCATCAACTCTGAAATTCACATATATGTAAACTTTGATTTTCAACATATACATTTGGCAGATCACTTGTATAATTTTACATGTCAACCAGAATTAAATTTATTTTTTCAATCTAGAATTGTTAGTCAACTTTGGACAAATAGTTCACAATCAGTAGCAAAAAAAATCTTCATTTTTCCCCAAATGGAGACAAGCGTATTTCTCAGAAAACATTTAAACCAAAATCCAAATTATTCAGCTTTTTCAAATCAAATCCCATGAATATGTTAAAAAAGTAAAAATTTTTTGTAATCTAAGTTTCTCAGTTTTATTTTTCTGAAAATGTAAGTTAGTATGAACTTTCTGCCTCAACCAGAAGTTGAAAAAAAAGTAACAATTTATTGAAAGAATTATTCCCACCAAATTCTTGTTATTTGATTGTAACTATCAAAATTTTTAAGAAATCTTAAAGAAAACTTTATTTAAAAAGATGAGTATTTCTAATCATAAATTTTCACAACTGACAGGAATTCCAAACTCATTTTCAACAAAATAACTTGAATATTTTACTGCTCCAGTAAGTACTTGATTCCAACTATTATCCTCCATCTTTACAAGAGCCAGATCAGACTAAAAATGGAGGACTGCTGCCCAGTTTTCTCTTTACTGTCTTGATAGAGTCCAAAAGCATCTCTGCATCGTTATGAGTGAAAGAATTATTTTCCACCCTACTACTCCTTTCTCACAGACGAAACATTGCAAGCCATTATTCTATTGCTATTTCCATGGAAATTGTTCACATGATCTACATTCCTTGGTTCCACCAGTCGTGGTTAAGACTTGCCATGATACGCACATTCCCTTGGCGAAATGTAAGTACCACTCGAGCAATTTCTTCCCATGAACCACTGCTTTGTGGGACCAACTCCAAAGAGGATGCTTCCCAGATCAATATAATCTTAACCTGTCGAAGTTTAGGGTTAGCTGTTATCATTTCCATATATCACTATAAACCGTGCTTCTTACCCTGTAACCTCAAGTGGCAACTGGGCTTTGTACAAGGTAACATTATTGTAAACAAAAATACTAAAATAAATAAAAACCTATAGTCCATTTCAAGTGACTTACCTTGTTAAATTGAGTAAAGAATGAAGGTCATCTTCAGACATACTCTTTCGATCATTCTGACGCATACTGATAAAATCATTTTGAATTAACTGTAAAGAAAAATCATATAAAAATTATTTGTTATTGTACAGATAAATAAATAATGAATTGAGGTAATTTGGAGTAAAGAAGTCCAAATTAAACAATTTTTTAATATTTTAAAATTCCAAGACTGATATTACAATTGTCAAGTAGATGTTAAAAAAAAGAAAGAGTACTACTTACTGCTTCCAATTCTTTGTCTATGGAATATTCCATATTTTGAGCAAGGCCAAGGTAAATACGGAACTTATGAAGTAAATTCGATGTCAATTCTGCTTCAATGTGATGAAAGTGATTTAGCAAATCATCATGGGATACAGTGGCTTCAAGTGGAATGTGTGCATCACTCTGTTAGTAAAAATTAAAACGTTTTTCTAAATGTAGAACTGTCATATCTACATTTCATTTTAAATCATTTTTCACATATAAATTGCATGAGATTAAAAATTTTTAATGACTGTCTACAACATATTGGATAAGAATGCCAAATTTTAGAAATGTAGATAAAATCCAGTAGACAAAATTTCAGGATATGAAGGAATGCAAGGTCAGTTAACAAATCAATTGAGGCTACTAAAAATAAAAATTACGTGGAAAATGTCTAAATTATTTTCAATGATTTTACCTAATCAGTGAAAAAAATTGAATCTCAGCACTTAGGAATTTTTTTTTTCTAAAATAAACATTAACAGAAAAAAGTCAATAACTTTGTTGATATGTTGAATAAATAAAAACCTTTTGAAGGAAAACATAGCAAATTGTTATAATGATAGGTTTATTTAAGTATGAATGAATTTAAGTTCCAAAATTACATCAACAAGAATTATTCACTTACAGAAATTGAAACAATTTAAAGTTTGTGTCTATAATCCAGGAAAATTTTAACTTGAAACAAATAACTGAATGGTTGAAATGTTTTCATTGTATTTTTTTTTTTTATCGATCTATCAAAAATTTAAGTAAATGCCACATATTCCAAACTAAGAAAACATTGAAGACATCAAATAAGAAATTAAAGTGTAAAAACAGCAATACTATTTTAAATAGGTTCAACTATGTAACTATGGTATCAAAAATTGATCTGTTGTTTTTAAGACTGGTGAATCTGTAACTGCAACACAGAGCTTTTCATGCTCATTTTGTGTTATGTTAGAATGATGCTGTTTTGGACAGAAAATCAATACTGCTATAGGTTGAAAAATTCTGGGCCACAGGTTCAGTGCCTAAAAGAAAGCCAACTGGAAGACCTTGAAATGCTCACAGTCCAGAAAATGTCCAGGCTGTAAGAGTCTGTTGTGCAATCTGCTATATGTTCAGCCTGTAAACATGCTTCTGCTTTGAGATTGTCTGATTGAACAGTCAGATAAATTTGACACACCAATCTGAAGTTCCATCTATACAAATGATGTTCAGGAACTGCAAGAAGATGACTGGGGAAATTGCTTACATGGCTTATTGTGACTATATCCTTCAAAATATTCCTACAAATGCTGTTCTTCTCACAAGTGACCAAGCTCACTTTCATTTCTCTGGCTGCATCAATAAGCAGAATTTTCACTACTGGCTGGAAAATAACCTTAGACAGCTTCATGAAAGATCTCTACACAGTGAACAAGTGACTGTGTATTGTACAGTTGCAAAATTTGATGTATGGTGCCCTTACTTTTTGAGGAGGGAAACCACTCAGAGTAACATCTGACCAGTATGTGGAGATGCTGAAGACCTTTCTAGAACTAAAACTCAGAGACATTGGGAGTCTGGGTGTGTGGCTTCAATAGGATAGAGCCACTGCACACACAGTGATAAGATCAACAGAAGCTTAGAGAGAAATGTTTGCAAGACATTTGATTTCCTTATGCAGTGACATGGCATGCATGCTCGCCTGATTATTTTCACTGGGGTTACTTGAAAGATGAAGTCTACAAACATTGACCAGCAACCAGTGAAGAATTAAAGGATGCTATTTGCCAAGAAATGACAGAAACACTGCCAGAAATTTCTCTTCAGGTGATGGAAAACTTTAAAATAATCTACAATATGGCAAATAGAGGTCACCATTTGAAGTATGTCATTTTTAAAATGAATAAAAACTGTGGCCCTTTGTTTAAACAATAGTGAAATAATTTTTTTATAGCAGTTATCTTGGTCTTTTTGTCAACCTTTGAAATGTGGTACTTCTGCTGCACCCTGTATTTATTGGGGGTGATGGGAACTATACTGTCAAGGCAATGGTAATGTTTTAGTTTTATTTCAACAACCAGAAGACACAATATCAGCTGAAACATGCTAGGAACAGCAGCAACGCAGCTTACCTACAAGGAGTTACAAGCTAATAGAATTTCAGCAGAGCAGTCTTTCTATCTTACTATCAAATTACTTAGATTTTCTTTTTAAAAATATGTTTCTTCCTCTGACAAAATTGTCATTGAAATTTTATTTTTTAATTGACATATGGACAATTTTAAAGCTTCAAGAAAAAGAAATACATGACAACTTACAGGTAAAATAGATTTTCCTTCAGAAACACAAATGATAGCAATATCTGCTTCAAATTCCCGCTGGTAGAAATCAAAGTCATACTGGACTTTTTGCCACCTGATTACATGTTCCAGAGCTTTAATATTTTTGTGACCTGTATAAAAGATAATTTTTTTTAAATCTAAGAAAATAAATAAAATTGCTGACTCCTTAGGCTATTGAGTATGCTACATTGTATTTCTATCCATTCTCTGTATATATCTTTTATTCCATTTCACTTATTTGCATGTCTGTACACTTCTAAAAAGTCACTTCAAAGAATTATGAAGATGATATGAATAAACTTTGTAATATCAACTACATTTATTTATTAGATAATTTAGTTAAGAGATACTGCTTTGCCTTAATAAATAACTTTAAATAAAGAACTTATCAGGGATAAAATTAACATGAAATTCATACCTCCGTAAGAGAAATAGAATATACAATATGAAACCACGGATACCATTGCATAATAAATTGCTGACAGTGAGATTAAACAATGTAACCAGCATTCACAAAATTTACTAAATATTCCAACCTATTAACTCAATAACAAGTAACAAATTTTAAATTTCTTCTGTTGAAGAAATCATATATTATTAAAAAAAAAATATATATATATATATATATATATATATATATATATATATATAAGAAAATTTGGAAAAACAAAAACAAAAATCCTTAAATGCAATTATGTTGTTTAAAATGAATGAAATGTCGACGTCTGACGTTTCGGTTTAATAAACCTTTTTCAAGACAATATTCATTAAAATACAATTCAGTTCAATTTGACAAAGACGATGGACATAAACAATTTAGATTTCGATTCCGTGAAGGTATTAAAATATTTTCATAATAAAAATCTCAGGAGGATTTATGAAGCAGGTATAATATCCATCTCACATCACGGTGAATACTAGACCTGGTTTCTTTTAATATTTCCCCTTTTTAGCGAGATTAATGCTCGATAAGGCATACATAAAAAATTTTAGATCCTAATAGAATTCTTTTCATTTTCTTTTTCATTCAAAATAATCAAAAATTTTAGGAATACGTTTTGAAAAGCGTCGCCCATGTGACGACAACGTGACCATGCTAAACGGAAAGCTGATCATTTTAAAAATTTTCAGTTATCTGTTTTGGATAAGACTTGTTGTTTATGTCCATCGTCTTTGTCAAATTGAACTGAATTGTATTTTAATGAATATTGTCTTGTTTATTAAACCGAAATGTCAGACGTCGACATTTCATTCATTTTAAACAACATAATTGCATTTAAGGATTTTTGTTTGTTTTTTTCCAAATTTTTCTTCATTCTGTCGGATCTATATCCATTTACATTTGCTTATATATATATATATATATATATATATATATATATATATATAAGATTAATTACAGATTCATTGACAATATTAATAAAAATTGTAGGAACAGGTGATTTTAAATTGAGCATTGTATGCTGGTCATTAATATATAAAAAAAAAAAAGGTGAAAACATTTTGTAATTCTTTATCAAAATGATAGCAATTTATTTAATTCCTAAAAAAATATTTGTTAATGTGCGTCAATATCAATCAATTTTGCAAATAAACATACCTAAGCTTTCATTAGTACCTATTGATAAGGTCAGCTTTTAATCATTAGTTAACCTATTACCTCAAAGGGAAACACTTTCATTATATCCTAAATTGGTATATCTGCAAGTAAACTAATCATGGATAAAGAAGGCAAATGATTTTTTTTTAGCAGCAATCTGCACCAATGTAATCAACATTAAAAATGTTGATAAGTTTTGGTACTTATCTTTTTAGAATATGATAAATATCACCTGTATATATAAATATAAAAAATAAAACAAGTGAAGTGGATAATTTGGTAAAACTAATGGATTTACCTTCAACAGTCAATTGTCCAGCTTCTAATTGGGTCTCATCCAGTATGAGGTTAGTATTTCGACTCAGCTGGAGAACACCACTTTTCAATCGATTAGTTGAATAATTCTTGTTAGAACAAAATTGCAGGCTATTTAGACAATGCAAGCTTAATGGAAGAAGGTGCGACTGAAAGACAAAATCCAAAAAATTAAAGCTAAGAATTTAAAATATCACAAAATCACTTTTGGGATCCAACAAAATCATTAGAAAGTGAACAAAAGTAAATTAATAAAATATATTTCATTTTATTTAAAAATTAATCAAAGAACAACTCCACACCTCATCACTTATCATGTTACAATACTTACTTTGGTGACAAGAGAAGAAATGAAGCTATGAAGTAATCTAGGGTAGCTTCCAGATTTGGGGATATGACTCAAATTCAAACACAATTTACCAATTGGCAGCAATCCTGCAGAAAAATATCTGAAAAATAAATAAAAACAAAATCCTTCAGTAATTCACTCCAAAGAGAATCTTAACATACAAAATAATTTATAAATTTTCTGAGTACAAACAATGATGACCCCTTTTTTCTTTGGGCATTATTTACTATTCATTATTGGAGTTTCATAATAAATTTAGTTTTCATACTAATGCATGTATTCCTCAGGGCTCCACCCTTGGTCCTCTGTTTTTAATTTTCATTAATGACCTTCCTGATGACATCAATTCTCAACTTGTTATCTATGCTGACAAGACAACTCTTTACTCCTGCCTTAATAGTAAGGCTGATCAGTCAGACAAGGTCATAATGGTAGCCAATGTTCAAAATGATCTCAAGTTCATTGTTAACTGGGGCAAAACATGGTTTGTTAACTTTAATGTCTCCAAAACTAAACTTTTCTCCATTAATCATCTGAGAAACTCCTCTCTGCCTTCCATCAGCATGGCTGATGCTAACCTCCAAGAAAGTGACATGTTGCGACTTTTTGGGCTAACATTCTCAGCTGACATGCAGTGGAAAAACTATATTGAATTCATTGCTACGTCAGCTGCTAAGAAAGTTTGTTCATGGTGTTGTGCAAGACAATTTTTCTCTCCAGAATCTATCTTACCTATAAGTCTACCATTCGCCCATGCTTAGAATATTGCTGTCACATATGGTCCAGTGCTCCTTGAGCTCCTTAATAAAATCCAAAGAAGAATCAGCAATATTATTGGTCCTCATCTGGCAGCTCAGCTTCAGACACTTTCCCACCACTGTAAGGTTGCCTTTGTGCCTTTTCTATCATGGTAATTGTTTGAATAAGCTCTTCACTAGACTAGACTTTTTGAATTTAAGTGCAGTACTATTGGCATAGAGCTATCATCAATTTACAGCTCAGCTGGCTAGATATAACCATAAATTCTATTCTCACAGTTTCTTTTCTCATACTTCTCACTCATTATTACTGTTTCTGTTCCTAATTCTTCCACACCAAGAGAGAGAGAGAAAAGAAAAAAAAAAACAGCTTAAGTGTTGCAAAATTCTCATTTCATGTTTATAAAATTGTTTGACACAAAAGTCATTTTAATACAAAATCTCATTTGATTTCTTGTAACATCCTGAACCCAATTAAAAAAGACATTTTCCTTATTTCCTTCAGATTAGACACCACTGAGCTGAAATGCCAAATAAACAAGAATGAGCATGTTCAACATCTCTTTGTTTTTAATTATAGTGCCAAAGCTGTTGAAGACATTTGTACTGTGTATGGAGAGGATTCACTACCAACAGAAGGACACAGAAATGGTTCCCCCTCCCCGCATTTTGAGGAGATAAAGTTTGAACTCATAAATTCTCTGCATTCTGAGTCACCCATTCAGTTTGATGAGAATCAACTGCATGTGCTGATTAAAGAACCATGCTAGACAACTATGGAATTGGCCCAGAAGATGGTGAGCTCTCATGTTATTGTCACTAGTCATCTTCACTCATTAGGTAAGCTTTTTAACAATTCCAACAATGATGTGAAGCTTTTTAAAATATGATTTGATGAAATTTTCAAGTCAAAACTTAGTGATTTCTACTGTCAAGGGATTGGACAATTAGTGGATCATTGGCAGTCATAAACAATGAAGGGAAATATAGTGTTGAATGATTCATCAAAACTACTGATAAATAATAAGTATTAAAATAATTGATACCCCACCATGGCGTTCTATATTAACAGGCCTCTGCGTAACGCCACTACCTCGATAGACTGGAGGCCGGCTGACAATTAGATCGTTTTAGTTTCAGTTTGAGCGAACTGCTGAGTACTGTGTACTCTTATGTTGTTGGCTCGAGAAATTCAAAGGAATCTTTTAATTTTACCTTTGGTTGGAATATCATTTAACTTATTTATTTGAAGTAAGTATATTTGATTATTTTAGTTTGAGTCCATACATTATTTATATTTAAATTGTAAAAAGTAAACTTTGGTGCTTAAATTTACTACTTTCAAAAAGATTTACTTAAGTTTAAAAAACCTTAACATTTTAAATTAAAGTTTAATTCATTTTGGCATTTTCCTCTTAAAGTTTGTTCAACATTTTTTTTTTTAAAGCTTAAAGAATTATTTATTGATAAAATGCAATTCTTTTTTAGTAATTTGTGTTATTTTAAAAGCAAAACAAAACAACATTTAACAAATTTGAACAGAATTTAATTTAGTTTCTTCAAAGGCGTAAAAAAAACTATTTTTATTATAAAATGAATTAAATTTTTTTTTTTTTTTAAATTCAATGTCATTACTTAATTTGATATTTATTTTTGATATCGCTAAAAAAACATTGTTAGTATGATTGAAAACATAACGTCAATGAAATTAAAGTTTAATTTTCTCAAGTTTTTAACCATGATAAAAAAATTAGCATAAGTCAACATTTTTCTATTAAAAGTTTAAGTTTGAATAATAAATTTGAATAAAATTTTAATAGAGAAAGGTTCATTAACATTTCTCTATTAAAACTTTATCCAACATTTCCATTAAAAGTAAAAAAAACAAAAAAAAACAAAACAAAACAAACAAATTTCTTTGCGCTTTTGTTTCCGAAGTTAAAGAATAAATGATTATTTTTACTACATTAGTTACCAATTGGTGAACTGTAAGTATTTTTTTTTACTTATTAGAATTAAAGAAAAAAATAACAATAAATTTATTACATGCAGTTAATGACAATATTTTAATTATTTTCTTTTTTTTTTTTTTTTTTTTTTAAAGGTCTCCTTTTTTACACCTTTTTGACTACAAAATTTATTTTACAAGACAAGTATAATAATACCATTTTATTTATATTTATTTTAATATTTTTCTGATATTGTTGTTAAAGGACAAAATGCATATTTTTACTTTACTTTTAATTGTTTTGCTTTAAGGTAAAAAAAAAAAAAGTTATATATATTCCTATTTATATAGTTTAAAGCGTATTAAAATAACCAAACTAAAGGAAAGGCTACTTATGAATGTTTTTAAATTTAATATAAAATTTTAAAGTAGCCAACATTGATACCATAAAAGTTAATGGAAAAATACGTCCAAAAAAATCCATCATCTGTATGGCCAGGTGTGCCAAGTAGTCAAATACCAACACCCTCAGCTGTTCAAAGGAATAAAAAAAAAACCTCCAGTACTGTTAGAAATCAAATTGCTGATGAACTTAATGCTTTTTTAGAATTAGATAAAATTATACAAATTTGAAAGAAAGTCTGCTTAACAACAAAAAAGACATTATATGTCCATTTTTGGATGAAAATATTTTAACTGTTCAATTATTAAGATGGTATTCCTCTCTTTATGTCGAAAATTTATAACAATTTGCGCTTTGAAACATTTCATTATGGAGTTAAGTGTTATATTAGCAGCCTGTTCAAAAATCATATAAATACAGTTGATACTTGGTCAAAACTGGAAGAAATCATCCAATATTTAAATTCTATGGCTTTTGATCACAAGAAAAATATCCTGAGTCAACAATTTTTAGCAATGGCTCCCAAAATGGTTACAGCTCAGATATAGTTGTGCATGCTTTTGGGTACTATGCAAGATCACGGACATTGTATAATGAATTAAGATATGATTTTTTAATTACCCTCATTAGCAACATTATGAAGGATGACGTCAAAAGTTTCAAAACTTAATGAAAAATCTTTTTTGTTATCTATATTTAATACTCTTAATACCAGTCAAAAAAGGTGCATAATTCTCCATGATGAAGTATATATCATGGCAAACAACTATTTGGTAAATCAGTACTTGCTCAAACAGTACTTGGTATAATGTTCATGTGTCTCAATGGGGGTCCAAATTTTCTTACAAAATTGATTCCAATTTCAAAATTAACATCCGCCTTTTTATTTGAACAAATTGAGTTAACTGTCCAAGCCATCACATCTGGACCAGCTGATGTAAAGGCTATTATATGTGATGGCAACCGCGTAAATCAAGCTTTTTTTAAATTATATCCTACACTTCCTGAAAAACCTTGGTTAACTGATGATAATAAACATTTGTTTTTTGATTATGTTCATCTGTTGAAAAATATTCGCAATTTGTGGCTGACAGAAAAAACAGGAGAACTAATCTTTGATGATGATGGAGTAAGTCAAGTTGCAAAATGGACACATCTTAAACAGTTATATCGTTTTGAATCTGAAAGACTAGTCAAACTTTCAGATTTAAATGAAATTTCCATTGCTCCAAAGCCAATAGAAAGACAATGGGTTTATACTTGCCTCAGAGTGTTTTCTGAAAAAACATATAATGCACTTCTCACTCAGTCTGAAATAAGTGCCCTCTTCATAAACAAGGTTTTGACATGGTGGAAAATTTTAAATGTTAAATGCCTTCAAATTGATAAATTACATAATGATCCTCTACAAGCTGAAATCAAATCTCCAAATGACATCCAACTTGATTTTATCATTGAATTTGGTAAAATGGCTCTTAAAATGGCTGGCAGTCAAGGTAATCGTAAAAAAACAATTATCCCAAAACACTGCTACTGCCATACATCATATTTGCAATGGAATTGTTAGTCTATGTCGACACCTTTTAGCTACAAGTCATAAATATGTACTACTTAGGCAATTTTCAACTGATCCATTAGAAAAAGAATTTGGTAAACTTAAAAGGGATCAGGTGGCACCTATTTTATAAATGTTAGACAATGTATTGAAAAGCTGCATATTAAGCAGACATCTTTACTTTTAAATCAAAATGTAAATATTGATGAATTTGATGTTAATCCAGGTCACCAATGTACATCTTGTGATTATAAACTTTGTGAGGAAGGTTCAGAAATATTTGACAATCTGGAAAATTTAGAACCATCTTTTTCCAATGAAATAAAAATGGCTCTTGTGTACATAGATTGATATATTACAAGAAATGATAATCAACCCAGTGAATGTGAAACCCATTTTTATTATGATAAGTATGGAAAATATACCAATTTAATTGACTGTGGAAAACTAAAACTTCCTTCTGACCACACTTGTCAATGGTTATTTTTTTTGTTTCATTCTTTTCCATACAATAAAGGAAAAGGTTTGCTATAAATCATTAAGTAACATTTTTATGCTTATTTCTGAGTTTCATTTTTGCAAATATAGTTTTGAAAATTTTTTACAAACATGGCACACCTAGATCAGAAAAAGAACCAGCTCTAAAAGTTTTGAAACTTTCCTAGAATGCTTTTGTTTTATTTGTCTATATTTCTGTGATGATTGATTGTTATATACACACTTCTTGGGTTCTGTTTGTCAAACCCAGTAACTGTAATGTAAATTTAAACCAAAGTCTTTATTCACTCACAGGGAATAGATTAAATAAAGGATTCAGCGACACCTGTAAATAATATAAATTTCTGATTCAATATATCTTTTACCAGAAATCATAATTACCCCTTTGTGTTGTTTAATAATTATCAGTGTTCATAGCAAAAATACATATTTTCATTTATTTATCTTTCAACACATCCTATTATCCTAAGGTGTGAATAAAAATGTTATTCTAAGTATTTTATAAAGTGGTTGACTTCATTTTCTTCTAAAATTTCTGAAAATCCTACATTTTTCAATAGCCCTCCAGTTCTGGCTCTCAGTTGCGCCATGACTTGGCCCAGAGTATAGAACGCCATGTACCCCACCAAAAAAAACAACATACAAATTCATGCAACAATCTAATAGATATCCCCCAAAGATAAAGGACATGAATTTAAGTCGAGCTTCATTATTTTCAATCAATGCTGTTTACTGACATATACAGACTGATGAGCCAAGTTTTGCAATAAAAAACTAAAGTTAAAATAAAGGAAATATGATTCAATAATATATATGAGTGAGCTATTTTTTGACTTTCTTTTATTGTAATAGACAGGTTGTAAATAATCTTAAACAATATACACTGGGGAAAATAAGTATTTCATCCCCTGCTGATTTTCTGAGTTTGCCACCTTGTTTGGTCTATAATTTTCAGGGTAGGTCCATCTTGAAAGTGAGAGCTAGCATATAAAAAAAAATTCTAGAAAATCATATTGTATTAATTTTTGAACATTTTTATTTCTTTTTTATTGAAAAAGAATATTTCGCCCCCTACCAACCAACAATGATTCAGGCCCCACAGACCAGTTATGTGACCAGGAGGCATATAGACTCGTCCTATTACTCAATTATTATTCCTAATCAATTCTCATTACCTGTATAAAAGACATTAGTTCACAGAATCCTTCAATGAATCAGATTCTAATCTCTCCACAATGGGCAAGACAAAAGAATTATCTAAGGACATCCAGGACAAAATTGTATACCAGCACAAGACTGGAATGGACTACAAGATGACTGACAAGCAACTAGGTGAGGAGTCAATTGTTAGTGCAATAATAAGAAAATAGAAGAAACACCAATTGGGGTTTCTTCCATTTTCTTATTATCTCCCTCAGTCTGGACTCCATGCAAGATCTCCCAACATGGAGTGAACCTGATGATGATAAAGATGAGGAAACAAGCTTGTTGATGATTTCAAGGCAGCTGGGACCACAGTCACCAAGAGGACCATAAGTAACACACTATGTCGTAGTGGACTGAAATCATGTAGTGCCCACAAGGTCCCCCTACTCAAGAAGGCACATGTACGGCATGTCAGAAGTTTGCATCTGAGCACCTGGATGATTCAGAGGAGGTTTGGGAGAAAGTGCTGTGGTCAGACAAGACTAAAATTGAGCTTTTTGGCATCAACTCGACTTGCTGTGTTTGGAGGAGATCCCAAGAACACCATTCCAACCATTAAACATAGTGGTGGAAACATTATGCTCTGGGGTTGTTTCTCTGCTAAGGGGACAGGACAAATACACTGGGTTGAGAGAAAGATGGACAGGGCCAAGTACAGGGAACACTTGAGTGAAAACCTCCTTGCCTCAGTCAGGACACTGAAGATGGGTGTTCCAGCATGACAATGATCCAAGGCATATGGCTATGGAATGGCTCAATTGAATAAAAAAAGGCTCTGAAAAGACACCACTAATATCCTTTTGGACAGTGGCATAGTGGATATAACAGTTGGGTGTACATGTGTTACTGTCATTTAATGATTGTGAGTTCAATCCTGTAGGTTTAACAGAAACAAAATATTAGATAATCCATATCAGCCAAACAATGGACCCCTAATGATAACCAGAGGGTACTTGGTCAAAGTGTTATGTCTATAATAACATATATATCAATCAAGTTGAGAACAATAGTTTGAAATAATACAAGTATATTAAAATAATTAGGTTACATTTACATTTGAAAATATAACCATTTAGGATCAAATGTCAAAAGAATCATCCCAATCCAAAAATTTAAATCCTAAAAAATATAATATTTATATCTCAAATGAATTTCTTTTTAATATTAATGTCCCCACAAAACAACTTGCATTAACCATACAAAAAAAAAAAGGGTTACATTTATCAAAATAAATGTAACCCTTTTTGTCAGATAATTAAGATGAATAAAATTTAAAAAAAACAAAACAAAGATATAATGATTATATAGATTGACAAACTAAGTCAGAAGTCCTAAAGTCCATTGAGTTTAATATATGTATATACACAAGGGAAGCTGAAAAGTTTAATTTAAGAGCTTGGTTAGCTTGAGAACTTTTCAGCACCCCCCTCTCATGTGTGTATGTATATATGTTCAAGCTAGATATCCCCACATAAAATTTTACTAAAGCTTTCTACTTACATCATCAGTGAATATTTGTTATAGTCATAAAAGTTAAGAATAAACTGTAATTATAGTCCCTGCTTAATTCTCCAAGTTGATGTTATTAAATAATGATATTGAATAGTTTTTAAAGAATTTACAAAAATCAAATATTCACCAGAATTAATTGACAAAGATTTATTTTATAATTAATTTGATATACTGTGAAGTGCAAAATTATCCATATGGTTCATTCAATTTCATTTAAAATAATGCAATTCACTTTTGAATATTGAAACAATTTTTATATTGATGATAAAATGTATTAGGCATCAATAATAGAACAATCCATTCCAGAATTTTTTATTCATTACAATTGCTTTATAAACAACATTAAAGAGTTACCAAGGGTAAAATTATCCATATATTACAATATTTTAATTATTGATGAAATTGATAAAATATGTTTTGGCAAGGTAGTCTATTAGACTATATCTGTGAATTGTAAACTTTTAAAAGAATTTAAGTTTACAGTAATTTAAGTTTATGTGTGCATTGTTCATTTGAAGCCAGGTAACAACACATGACAAGAGTGAAAGAGTTGTACATGGAGTTAAACAATGAATTGTAAATGACTGTAATTCACAAATGACTTTTGGTTCATCAGCTAAACAGTAGATCATGAAAAAGATATGAGACAAAAGCCAACTATTCCTGCCTTTAGGCTAAACTCTAAAATTACAAAGCGTTTCCATAAATTCAAGAATCCTAAATTGCTGAAAAATATTGTTTTTGATTTTTTTTTAAACAGTGAAGTAAATTTGTCACATGGTACGGTAAGCAGGGTGCTCAATAAACAAGTTCCCAGTAGTTACTATCCAAGAAAAACACCTCTGCTCAAAAAGATTAGCATTGCTAAGCTTGATTTGTATTTACACACTTGGTTGGAATCAGGCACAGCAAGTATGGAGAAAAAGAGAAGCTATGAACCCTAAGAACACCACTCTGGTGTAAAACAGAGGTGACAATCTTATGCTTTGAAGGTGTTTTAGAGGAAAGGGGCTGTTTGTTTAAAATACTTGGCACCATGAAAAGGAAAAATCTGAAAGACTTCCAGGTGCCTTTTTAGAAGATGACATTTTACCTTGCAACATAATCCTAAACACAGGTGTTTTGGTGAAAACTTGAACAACATTAATGTTATACCTTAACTTGTAATGAGTTCAGACTTGAATCCAATTGAAAGTTTGTGACAAGAACTTAATGTTGGAGTTCATTCATGATAAGCTTCAAATTTAGCAAAGTTAGAGCAATTTGCTTTTGAAGAATACAGGAAAAATAGTTGTAGATTAGTTACTAAATGTTTAAAAGTTGTTGACCAAAAAGGCGAGACCATTGACTATTAGCTGAAGTGTATGAATAACTTTGTTTTTGCCTACTTTGTTCCTCTAATGTTCATAATGCTACTATATCAAATAAAAAGTTTCTAAAATTATATTATTTTAAATGAAATTTATTATAGTCTACAGATCATTTTCCATCTATATGGCATAAACTAAGAAGTTTAAAGGTGATCACTCAAATCAACTCATCTACTGAAAAATATTAAATTATACATTACATTTTATCAAAATCATAGATATTTTCTCTTAACTGAGTTAAGCACTCATTTTTTTTCCGCTGGTATTTCTTTAAAATTAATTCAGTGGTTTTAATTTCAGTTGTGATAAGTGTTGTGGAGTTGCTGAACGCCCCCAAAAGATGGACAGGTCTAATACTATTTAAACAGCACTACAGGCCCAGAATGTCCCACATTAAAAACTGGCCTTGTGCCACATCTTGCCTTGTGGGGAGGTTGGTAAATAGAGGAGTTAACGATTAACTATTTATTACATTGTGTCCTCAGCCGTGTACCATATTATTCTCTGGAATAAACTACTTACTGTGTCAACATTTCCTATTTATAACACACCAGTAAGTATAGTGTAATTGATGAAATAACAAACAAATTTGAACAGCCTAATTTTGATTTGGAATCACAGAAACCAAAAACAATATTTTACTGATTCTGACAAATGTAAATACAAATATATTAATAGTTACAAATAGAAAATTCTCCTACAGGGAAAAATAAGTTACAGACATAGATTATGTGTTTTAAATAGATTAATCCAGCAAAATAACAATGGTAACAATATCAGAAAAGCATTATAACAGAAAGTGGATGGAGAAGAATTAGAACAATAAATGATGGAAAGTTAGCAACATACACAGAAGACACCAGATGACAGAGAAGATACTCAGCAGCCAGATTGTCCCCAAGAGTGACCATCTGCAAGATTTCCAGTAGACGTCGTCGTAATGTCTCCATGTCTTCTCCTATATCTTGCATCACTGGAGAAAATAAAAAAAATCAAAAAAAAAATCAAAGCACAAAGGAATCAATCCACATATTTCTCCATTTATATTAATGCTTAAAGTGAGTGAGAGAACAAAGAGGAAAGGAAAAAAAGCTAAAAGAAATATAAAGTGTGGAAAAGGAATCCACATAAACCAAAAATGAATCCCAAGAGATGTTTGATAAACCCTGCTGTTTTATAAATCCATAATACCAACTTTCTGATCCTGCAAAGCTTTCATTCTGTTAATCTCCTGGTCTCATTATTATTTTGGTAAAAACATTTCTTGAATTCCGCTGATCTACCACCTACATTTTTATATCATCCTTAATTTGAGACTGGGTATCAAAATTTATGTTTATCAATTTTAGCTGTTTTAACTTGTTCTTTTTGCCAGTTTTTCAGAAAGGTGCCGAGCCCAAAATCATTACTTTTCATGCTCTTTATCACAGTATCAGTTGTAGTTTATAGTGAATGAAGTAGCTTAATTCCTTTCCTCTTGTATCCAAAGCTATAAACTCAATCAGCCCTGTTGGGGTCATATCTATCAGTACACCAAAATATAGTGATGACAACAAAGATAAGAAAAATAATCTGAATATAAATAGTTTTAATAAGCACTATTAATTTTAATATTAACTTTCACTAAGAGTTTTAGATATTTAAAAAAAAAAAAAAAAAAAAAAATATTTATTTAAATATTTTCCTATATACATTTAAAATAATAATTTAAAATGGTTTCCAAAAGAATAACTTTTATCAAATGATGTTTAGTAATATATTTTCATATATTGATATATAATTTAATACCTCCCTTATTCAATTATTTCAACAATTTGTATAAGAGACTAAAAGAAAAGCAATCAGGTTTTTTAATGAACTTTTTAATGATTCTAGGCCAAGCTCATCCTAAAACCTTCATATCAAGTTATTTATATAGAATTTTAGCTCACTTTCTAACAGATTTTACTCACAGAAATGCATTACAGTTATTAATAAATTTCAGTTCATTGAATATAAATTAACTTCAAATATACACTGCTTTACAGACATCTATTGCTTATATAAAGCAACATTCTTAAAGATGTGTAGACAAAGATTAAAGCTGTATTTGTGCTTATTTCCCTACAAACAATCTTGTCCTTACCTTTTTCTCTTACATTGCTATTAATATTTGCAGGCAGAAGTGGGTTGTTATGTTTTAGATTGTAAATTACTACTGCATGCAGTCGAGGTACCAGCGAAGGAGGTGGTAATTTGGGTTCACTGGATGTCTCATCACCATCTCCTCCAACTGCATTCATTTCACTGTAAAGAAAAACAATTTAAAATTGCTTTAACAAACAAAAGTAACAACACAAGAAATCCTTGTGTAATTAAATCAACCAACTTGAAAAAATTCAATTGGCAGGTGTAGTGGTATGATATAAGGTAGAAATAGATTAGGAGTTATTAAATGCTAATTGTACAAGGTCCATCACTCCACCTATAAAGGCAGTAATCAATATCAGTCAACACCAGCTGAGTGCCTCTGAGGAGTCAGTACTAAATAAAAGTTTCAACTTTGCCATAACCATCAGGCGGATACCATATTGGACGTCATTGCCTGAATTGAGGAAGTAGCCTTGAACGTTCCTCAGGCTCGGGCAGATGAAATGAGACAGATACTGGAGAAAGTCAAGCTGCCCAAATCAAACATCACAAAAGTGGAGAGGCTGGCAATCAGAACCCTACAGAGAAATGAAAACATACTACCAGCTGACAAAGACAATGTTACTATAGTGATGGACAGATTGGAATATACAGAAAAACTGAAGACCTCATTAGAAATGATAGCTACAGTAAAGAAAGATCCAACAATGAAAACAGAATGTAAACTATCGCAGATCCTAATCAAGAACAAGGACCACTTCCCACCTAAGACATACAGGCAGTTGTGGCAGTGTTACACCTCACATATACGGTTTCTACAAAATTCACAAAGATGGTATTTCACTCAGGCAAATTGTTTGCTCCCAAAGCTAGGCCACAAAAATCTCCCTAGCTGGCCAAGCATAAAAATGAACACAATATGGAAACCATTAATACAGAGTAATAGAGAAAAGCAATAACAACAAAAATTGATAAAAAATGGTTACATTAAGTTTATAAGTCAAAAAAATTCATACACTGATGGACATATGGCCCAGTGGATAAAAGCATTGGTTGGATCCAGTGACTTGACCCAAAGAGTTGTAGTTCAATACTTAGTTGAGTTAAAGGGAGATAACTGAGACATCCAGAAGAGGCATGGCATGTGGAACTAGAACAATCTACTCCAGGGTAGAGAGTTCAGTTTGAAATTCCAATCACCTGAAGAAGGCTGGAGCATACAATGGCCAAAATGTTGTGAATATGGCAACAAAGATGAGGACAACAGCCCAAAAAATACAAATAATGTACAGGTAGATATATTTAAGTTAGGGGGAATTATTTTGAGAGAATATAGAGGTAACTTACCTGTCAGATTCAGTTATTTGCATAGACAATACTCCAATGAACTCTACCATGTCATTTACTTTCAATGCATCAATTTTACCATAAACCTCAAGAAAAAAACAACAACAAAAAACAAAATGAATGTCAAAGTGAAGGGTATACATTATTGCAGTCCTTATAAAATAAATATTAAATTACAGCCACCTGCTTAACAAATTCAAACATATCTATACATAAAAGAATTTCAACAAATTCTAGTAGCTTAAAAATATTCAATGAAAAAAAAACACATGAAACTAAGAAACAGTGGATATTCAAACAAAGTACAATGTAAAAACAAAAACAATTCAAACAAAAACAACAGTAAAAGAAGCCTAGGGAAAATATTCTTCAAAATAATTGACAAACACTTCTCTAAAAACAGCAAATTATCAAAAAATTACCAATAAAAAATACAATCAAAATTAGTTACAGTTGCATGGACAACATGGAGAAATTAATAATCAAGCACAATGAGGAAAAAAAAAAAAAAAAAAAAAAAAAAACTCAAAATCAATAACATCCAGGAAAATAACACAATCAAACATAATTGCAGAAACAAAGAAAATTGCCCACTTAAAAATAAATGTTTAACCAATAACATAATATACAAAGCTATTTAACAAATAGCATTAACACAGATGAAAAAATTTACATAGAAAAAAAAAAAAAAAAAACCTTAAGAAGAAAAGCATGCTTTAAGAGAAAAAAAAAAATACACAAACAATACAACCCGATCAAGATATATAGAGAGCCAAAAAGAAAACTATATCCCTCGTCAAAATCAAACAGAAAATTATAAAAAGAGCAACCGCATAAAGTATTAACAGTAAAAATTATAAACTATGCTTAGAGGAAATATTAACAATAATTAGTTTTAAATACCAAACTCTTAAAAGAAAGAAAACTGATATAATGGGTTGGTTGGTTGTTTTGTTTTCTGGCATATCAACCTCAGTGCCAACAAAATTTTTGAAAATGATTCATAGCGATAGTTTGGTAAAAAAAAAAAAAAAAGTGTGTATGTATACATATATATTTGAACCATTTTTCAATTACTCATATTTTTGAGTACAATCCAACTTCTTTTAGGAAATTTACATTCTTGGATGGTTTTATTTTCGTAAAAAGTTTTCTTAAATTACTCACTTGGTAATATTTTGTTCGCACTAGATCAAAATCTACACACTCTAACAGTGTATGTTTCACTGTAAATTTCTCTTGGCATGTAGTGCATATTGGAGATTCTGTGCCCTCTAGTATTAAGTATTACTGCTGATAATTTTTCCCTTCAAAAATTATTGTTGGTAATATTCTTTTTTTTTTTTTATTACAAAGTATTTCTGGTATTAAAACCTATTTTTACACAAGTTTGAGTGTTAACTATTTGCCCATAGCTGGGACCCTAACAGGTGTTACCACCCCAGGTCAGGGTGGATCTGGGAACACCAGCAATTAAGAGGTGGTTCCACACTCCTCAAAATTTCAGAGGCCTTGCTATAGTTTATCATCTTACCCAAGACGCAGACGTAGTTTATGTGATACCCAGGACGGGATATAATGGGTAAATGTAGGCATAGAATAAAATAATTACTTTGCTAAGCACTAATTAAAAACAGACAAATAAAATAAATATAAATAAAATAAAGATATTAATAAATTAAAAAAAATAAATTAATTATTAAGCAAATATATACAACTAAATATGTGTGTATACTTGTGCATGTAAGTTATAGGTACCTCCAATAATTCGGTATACTTAATGTTTAAATGTATTTTCAGAAATGAAAAATCTTTTTTGAAGCTTTCTCTTTAGCTTCAATTGAAGAAAGCAAAATACTGTGGTACATTTCTAATAGAAATTAGAATAATTTTTAGTTGATTTGTCCATCCCCCCACCAATAAAAACCAATCAAAACGGGTATTTTTTGTCATTTGTGAACAAAAGTGAATTCTCAAAATTGAATTACAAAAATATATATTTCTGAAACATTATTTGCAGAAAATTAACAAATTTAAAGTTAAATTATTCAGTTCTGAAGCAAATATTACTTACTTATAGGATAAAGTTTTGTATACAAGCATTTCTTGACCATGGGGTCTTGTAATTTTCACGTCTCCATCGACATATTGATGGCCAAAGGTTAAGTATGGTGAACCAGAATTGACATAATTTTATGAATTCTAAGTAAAAATGGTTTGTTTTTGTTTTTTTAGCTACTAGGTAATTTTTTAAAATTAACAGAATATTTTAAGCAATTATCTAATATTTTATTGAATTATTTTAGGTACTTAAATTTATGATTTAAGATACTTTCTGAAAGTATAATAAAATTTAAAATACTATAAAAATTTCTTAAATTAATAACACTTCATAAATTATTGAGTTACCTCTAATTTTTTAATACTTTCTACCATGTTTGAAATTTTGGTTTAATTTTTTTTTTGCATCAGCAGTGTGCACATTTTAATTTTTTTGTTTCAAATCAGATTAACTTTTAATTTGCTAATTTTCCTTAAATAACGTTTCAGAAAAATGTATTGTATTTTGCAAAAATTTATAAAAATGAAAATTAATCTTTGTTTACACATAATGGCAAGATTTTATATAATTTTTTTTTTTTAATCACGTTTTTCAATGGTTGTCCCAACCATTGAAAAACATGACCTTTTAATGAAAAATATGTTACATATGAAACACCATAGAAAAAAAAACATTATGATTTTTAATTTTCATTCAGTAAATATAGTCTTAATAACTTAACTTTGATGATGCTTAGGAGTATTTTAAAACATTTTTAAATCTTTATAATTAAAGAAAAAAAAAAAGAAAAATGCAAACAATTCTTGTAAAAATTCATTATCCATCAAAAAATGTATTTTTCTTCAGACTATAATGTTAATATTTAATTAGATAAGCTTTTAATTGCTTTTATAAATAATATTTATAAAAGCAATTAAAAGCTTATCTAATTAAATAATTAGATACTTTTATTGCAGTTTTTATTTTACAGTTTGGAGCAGAATTTAGGAAAATTGATAAGAATATAAAAAAAAACAAAAATTGATTATTTATATTCTCCAAGGAGTCCTGCTTTTAACTAATAAAAAGCAGTTTTTTGATGAGTTTAAATTCTATAAAATTTTATGAAATTAAGTGTGTTAACAGATGTAAAAAAAATTTTTTTTTTTTAACCAAGATTTTCTAAAAATAATAATTTCAAAAATAAATTCATTTATTTGTGAATAATTCCTGAAAGTTTCATTATAATCTGACAATTATTTGATTTTTGTAAGAATTTCAAAATTAATGCGTTATTTTACCAGAAAACAGGCATGAAAATGTCCATTACCAGCTGTTACATTGTTGATGCATAAAAAAAAACATAGCATGATGAAAAAGGCACCAAACTTGAAACAAAATTTTATTGTCTAAATGTTTATGTTATTAATTATTTTTTAAAAATTTTTCCTTCTTTTTAGAACATTCTAACATTTGATTTAAAAAAACCTTGTTTCTCTTTGTATTAGCAGAACTACTAAATAACATAAAATTTTAGCACTTTTTTTGGTATGACAAACATTAAATTGGAAAATCTTGCAAAAATAAAAATAATTGCTGGCTTTTAATGAAACTTTCAGAAACTATTCACAAATGATGGAAATTATTATAAATATGTTTTCTTTTTTTAAAGTCATGTCAAAAATATTTATTTTATACTTATTACCCACCACTTCCATAACTAAACTATTCAGTTTAGTCAATGGTGTTATTAAGTAGATCTATCTTCTAGCATTATAAGTTTTATACTGTGGCTCTTAAACCATACAGTATAAAAAAACTAATTCAGATGGCTTTTGTGTCCATAAAATGGCTGTAATTCAAATGTACAGAAAACCAGCAAGAATACAAAAAGTCACGTTATTTGAGTTAAGCATTGTTATCCACTGTTATAGCCTTTATTTTTGTGAATTGTTCATGTGAAACATGTATGTAGAAGTTAAATTGATTTTTCAATTTCAACTGAGAAGGGTACCTGCAAGTATTAGTATCATCTTATGAAATTTATATGATCTTATTTTTATATTATGTTATATTTTCCATAAAAGCAATATCAAAATTAATAATACAATGAATGGAAATACAAATAACACAGTAAAATGATAAATGTACATAAAGTTATAGTATTTTATGTACACTTCTGATAAAATTTCATGAGAAAGGTACCTATGAATTACCTATAAATTAATTAGATACCTTTCTTATGAAAATTAATCTCACTCAATTATTTTAATTTTTTTTTATATTTTCCATAACTGTAAAGGTGAAAGCTAAGTCAAAAAAAAAAAAAAAATTAGAGTGCTGAAAGTTTTCCTTAAAAAGTAACAAAGTTGGTTCACTTAAAATTAAATAATTATGTCACTTATGTCCTTCTGTATGGTAACATTCCCTTATGTAAGCTGTCAATATGTAATGAAATCATCACTCATCACCCACCAAATGACATCTGCTTAGTCTTATTTTTAAACTACATTTTTCTGGCACAGAAAGTAAGTAATGTTTGTTTCAAATTATTTTTAATAAACTTTATAATATAAATTTCTAATTTTGTTTTTAAAAAATTGGAAATGGAGTTTTCCATTTTGTTTATAAAATGGGAAAAAATGGTTGACATGATTGATTATCTTTCAAAAAAAAAAAAAAAATTTAATGAAAATTTCAGATATGCTAAGAATGATTAAAAAAAATGTAAATAAATACCCCCAAAAATACTTTGATCTTACCTCTTCATTATAGCGCGTACATTTAGACAATTAAAAATTATTTTCAAGTTTAGGGCCCTTTTTTTTTTTTATGCTATAGCAATCATAAAATACCTACTCCATATACATACACATATATATATATATATATATATATATATATATATATATATATATATATGTGTGTGTGTAACTAATAACTATTAAATAAAATTGAAACATTGATATACAATAAGCAAATATTTAATTTACCACGTATACACTATTTAAAAATGACATAATTGTGTGTAGAGTGTGTGAGGGAGTGTACGGGAGATTATACTCTATATACATATTCAAATAGCAAAGAAAACAAACACAACCAACCATAATACCCTAAAATAGAAAAAGTTACTTTACCATTTAAGTATTAGTTTATTAACAACAAAGCAGACACAAATTTGCATGTGCCTGTGTATGTGCATTTATATGTGTGTATATTTCACATGTGTAGATCTATACTTGTACATGCATGAACGTGCACGTATGAGCAAGTGCATAAATACAGACAAATGCACACAAGTTCAAACAACAATAAATAAAAATTTAGCTATAATCCTGACCTCCTACAATTAATATTTAAGATACTACTAAACCAAATAAGAAAATGAAATAATAGCCAAGATATATAAATATATTTATCATTTAAGCATTAATATCAATTATTTATGTAAAAAACAAAATACAACTTTCCTATCCCAAGAATAGACTAGAAGTGATCAAAAATTAAAAACGCTAACATGTCTAGAGAAAATACCAGAAATAAATTGCTACAATTGAAAGAGAAAAAAAAAGAGAGAGAGAAAAAATAACAAAGAAAAGGACAAATAACCACAACACCATAGACATAAGGAGACAGGTGCATGCACATCCACATAGATCAGCGCATGGCCAAAGTAACATCAATCAGCTAAGTTACAAACTTTTACTTCAAAGACGCAAATATAAAACTTAAATATCAAATATTGTTGAACTGTTGAAAAAGAAAAATTAACTGCGATGTTCCTGAGTTTAGTTTTTAAGATGTCTAGCATTAGTTCATCAATTGTTTATAAACTAAGAGAAAATGTTAACATCTTATGCAGTCATTTAAAGAAACAAAACAGGTTTAGAAAATCTCTGAAAAGTGTTTAGAGATTTGATAATAATCCAATGATTATAGAATTTTTAACCAGATGTTTATTATTTGAATTACTCAGTTTGTCCTGTAAATTGATAAGTCTTTGTGAAATGTGTTCTTGTAAATTGGCACTAAATCTGTATGGATTTGGACTGTGTGTAGTATACAGATTCATATCCAATAATAATAAGAAAAAAGAAAAAAAAAAAAAAAAAGCATCAAGAGAAGATACCTACTCTGACCAAACAAGCATGGCCTGTTTCTCCTTGAAGGGGAAAATTTAAATCAGGTAACTGAGATGATGTTCTTGAGGCTAAATTAAAATTAAGAAAATAAAAAATTATTATAATAATAATAATAATCATAATATCAAAAAATTATAGGGAATAAATCTAGCAAACAACAGAAACACACACTTATGTGTGTGGTAGACTCTCCTACTGTGAACGATAAATGAGGGTCAGCATTGGATGGTGCCTTTCGATTTACGCATGCATGCTAGCAGGGGTTAGTGTTGAGAAAATCAAGACATATTTCATTTGTGCTTTCTTAAGCGTGATACTAGCCCAGCCTTGCTGTGGGTGAGAAACCCACAATGACAAATGAAATTTGTTAAAACAGGATTTTGATGATATTTCTGCTTCAGAGCTTGATGAAGTTGATCAGTGCTTCAGTCTACTGTCTTCAAAACTCTTAATGAAACATGTCTTATACTACTCCTTTTGGTTTGATGCTTGGGCTTCCCAGGTTTTCAGATCAAAGTTGAAATATTTCAAATTGTCTTTCAATTTGTCTTTGTAGTTTAAGAGTGCATGTCCAACTGAACGCTTGGAGTTTAGTAGTTGTCCATACAACACCTTTTTTGGAAGCCTATGCTCATTCATTCTCACAACATGACCAGCCCATCTAAGTTGTATCTTTGCTAGAATGGTTTCAATGCTTGTGATATTAAATTTCTTCAGTACTGCACTATTCTTGACCCTGTCATCCCATTTTATATCACATATGGCACGAAGACAACGCATGTGAAAGGCATCAAGCTGATTTATGTGTTTGCGGTACAGGGTCCAAGTTTCAGCACCATAGAGAGGGCTTGAGAGAATGATCTGTATATGTCAATCTTTACTCTGCAAGACATGTCTTTGGTGTTTCATAACCTATATTTAAGTTTCTGAATGCTATGCTGGCTTTGGCTATTCTGGATTGGATTTCTCTGTCTATTTTTCCATCAGAAGAGACTGTTGATCCAAGATATGTGAACGCCTCAACAGTTTTTAATACTGTACCATCAATGAATATGGAAGGATTTGTGAGAGATGGATTGCCTATTACTGGCTGGTACATTAGTTCAGTCTTCTTTATGTTAATACTGAGTCCAAATGCCTTCGCTGTTTCAAAGAATTTATCAAGGATAGTTTTAACATCTTCTAGACTGTGTGCTAAGAGAGCAGCTGCAGAGAGAAGATTGCATACCAGCTGCAGACCAAGTTTTGATTATGCTTTAAAACATTGCTGGTTGTATAGACCTCCACTTGTTCTGAATTCAATATTAACTCCTTCACTTAAGTCAGAGAATATTTTTTCAAGCATAGAAAAGAAAAATGCAAAGAGGATTAAGAATGCAATTTTGCTTTGTACTGCTTGAGATGAAAAAGGCATCCAATTGCTCACTTCCCAACCTTACAAAAGTTTTCATTCCTTCGTAAAAGGATATAATATGGAGCATTTTTTCTGAAACACCTAATTTTGACAAAACTTTGCAAAGAGCAGTTCGAGATACAGTATCAAAAGCCTTTGTGAAGTCTACAAAAACAACAAATAGATCCTTGTTTTGTTCTCATGCCTTCTCCCGAGCCTGCCGGAGACAAAAGATCATATCCATAGTTCCTCTACTGGATCGAAAACTGCACTGGGTCTCTGGTAATGCCAATTCCAAGACAAATTCATTAAGCCTATTCAGGATGATACAAGCAAGGATATTGCCAGCAACTGAAAGAAGAGATATTCCTCTATGGTTGTCAGATTCACACCTGTTACCTTGGCGCTTATACAAATGGACAATTGAAGAATCCTTATATTGCTGTGGCACTTCTCCATTTTCCCCCCACACAATGTTGAAAAATTCACAAATTTTGCATATTGCAGATTGGTGCCACATTTGTATATTTCAGCTGGAATTCCATCTTTGCTGGGGGCTTTTCTATTCAAAAGCTGTTTGATGGCTTTTTTGAGCTCAAAGGTTGAAGGGTTAGCAGAAAGGCTTTGTACAACAGGTCTCTGAGGAAGATTGTTTATTACTTCAGCATTAACAGATGAATCCTGATTAAGACCGTAGAGAAATGTTCTGCTCAGCGTTTGATAATGTGGTTTTTGTCTGTCAAGAGTATTATCTGAAGAAAAGATTGGAAATGGGACCAAAAACACACTTCAAGCTTTCATAGAATGATTTGAAGTCACATCTAACAGCAGCCTCCTGTAAAGCCTTTGCTTCCCACCAACCCTCCTTCAATTTTGCTTGACACTTTCCTTTGGCTGATTTAAAGGCCCATTTCTTTGATAGGCATGCTTTGTCTGCCATCCAGACCTGATGACATTTATGCAGGTTTTCAAGAAGAGATTTAATTTCAGGATCATTACAATCAAATCAGTCTTGATGTTTTTATTGAACATACCCAAGCGTTTCTTTTGCCAAGTCATACAATATGTTTTGTAAGGCAGACCATTGCTGATTCAACTTCATTACCTACATAAAAAGATGAAAGTTTTGAGTCACACAATGTTTGGAAAGAGCCTAATGTTTCCCTGTCTTTCAGTTTTGTTATGTCTACTTTCTTTGGCAGTTTTGCTCGATGTTTCTAACAGGCTTCTTCAAATGCATTGCCGTAAGTGAGCAAACAATTTTGTGATCTGACCAACATTGACCGATTGCTAGTGAATGCGTAAGATTTATGTTGTGGCGATCACAAATTATGATATAGTCAATGAGATGGTCCTGCCATGATCTACGATGTCGCCATGTAGTTTTGAAACTAGTTGGTTGTTTACAAGATCAAATTCACTGCAAAGAGACAGCAGCAATACTCCATTAGAATTAGATTTATTGACACAATGTTTTCCAATGATTTTACCCCAATGATCCAACACGAGCATCACAAAGTTTATCACAAAATGACATCTGCCTTAGAAGTTCCCAAAGGTTGCAGTAAAAGGATTCTTTTACCTCCTCAGTAGAGCCCATGGTAGGCACATAACTAAATAAAATGGCATGCTTATTCTTACTGATAGGTAAGCAAAGAGACATTAACCTGTCAGAAATAACAAGTGATTCCAGTCATGACAAGATTGTTTCTGATAGCAAATCCTGTGCCAGATTCTTTTTACACAGATTCAGGCCATACTACCCAAAAGAAGGTGTAAGCGACATCCCACTTCTTTGTGTTGCCCTCTGTCTGGAAGTCTGGTTTCTGATAAACAGAATATCAGTATTGCTGCTCTAAATACTTGTACAATAATTGCTGTTCTGCGTTCAGAGTTTTTCTTATTGTCCTGAAGAGTCCTTACATTCCAAGATGCTATGAACATTTTTGTTTCATTAAGTTTTGATTTTCTGAAATTTCGGGTGCACAATTTGGACGTCCAGCCATACATACCTTATGACAGAGTCATGCTTGGATAATTTTTAGGTTGCCTTTTATTTCCTCATAAAAGGAAAGCAGTGCCATCCCTAAATAGGGTTGCTTTGTTATGAGAGGAGGACACAAAGTGCAACAATGTCCAATTTTGTGCTGCACAACAGTCATCCACCTCTCACCACCTACATGTGAAATTCAAGCTGAAGAATGCCAGTGGCATCCTCCATCTGTCCTCATTGCTATGTCTTCCTTGCCATGGGATTTCTGTCCTGCATGTACTTGTGTTGAATTATTAGCCATCCAGCTACTGGTGCTTGAAATAGGACGCAGTAGCTGCTAAGCACAAAAGGAAGTTCCTGAAAAGACATTTCATCCATGAATAGCTTTTGTGAATTTTTCAGTTTACTATGGCACAATGTGAGCTTTCTGCAAATATATCAGCCCTAAATTTAGCATTATTTGTTTAATTCAACAATAGAGTTATAATACTGTTCTATACATTTCAAGTAAGAGCTTGCATCTTTAAAATTTGATCTGATTATAAAAAATGAGTATGATTTTTGGATTCAGCTATTATATATTCAGTGTTGAAAACATGATGAAGGGATATGCAGTATGATATATATATATATACACACATATATAAATAAATAAAATAATTACCCTGATGACTTTCTGGCTTGTTTCGTTTTACTTCTTCGTTCTCTGTCTCCACTGCAGAATCAGGATGGGTTTGGGAATTAGCTGAGGATTCTGTCATCATTTCTTCTGCATCATCATCACGTACTCGTTTCAATTGCCCACTAGATGTAGATGCTTGCTCACTATTACATATGGAGCTTTGACTACTAGAGTAGGCTTAATCAAAGTTAAAGAATTTGGACATTTCTAAAATTTAGAATTATATAATTTATAAAAAAATTATAACATAAGTATGTTATAAAATCACTACAAAAATAGCCATTTTGTTTCAACACCCTCGGTATCTTATCAAGTGATGATGTTGAAGATAAAATAAATGGTTTTAAAAGTTTCAAATTAATTAACGATCCTGCACTATGGGGAAACATTGTTACAAAAGCTAGAATAACCAATCAAAAACCAAGTATAGAAAGATTCAAAAGCTTGACAACGAAATCATGTTATAATAGCTATTCAGATCTTTCAAATACGGGTAATATTAAAAATAATTTTTACTAACCAATAATTATAAAATTATGATAAAATTTAATATAATAATAATTATATCTGCTCTACTTTGTATTGAGCACTCTTTTAAGAATAGTAATTGTTGGAATTCATTTCGTATATACCAATTACATACTTGGGTATATATATATATATATATATATATATACACACACACAATAAATAGCACTTAATTTCTTGTAGGATAATTTTCATTTAAAATAGTAATTATTTATAATTTGTATGTTTTATTCAGTTACAATCAGATGATTTCAGTGTATATAATAGTGAATTAAGAGGAGCATATTTTTAAGTCAATTATATTAAAACTGGAAAATTTTCATTTGTAATCAAAGGCTTAAAAAATAAAGTTTAAGTGTTGTAAAAAGTTTTATTTTTATTTCTTATTCATGTTGCTTGCTTAACATAAAATTAAAAAATAACCTGAATATTGCAATGAAAAAAAACAAAATAAGATGATAAAAATATTAACAATAATGACAACATTTCATGAAAGAAATTCAAACCAGACTACTACAAGAGTCTTTGATGAAAATTTTATTAGTAAAGTATTGTATAGTTTATTTTTCACTGTTGAAAAGCAATAACTTTACTGGTAAGATAATCAATACTAATATTACCAACAAATGATCTTGTCATTAAGCATCATTTAGATATGAATTTTATTCAGGAAATGATATCTTTTTTTTAAATTATACTACTTCATCTTCTATTTAATAATTTAAATTACAAAATTTTTAATTTATTTTTCATTAAAATTTTTAATTTATTTTTCATTGTATTTGCAGTACAATAAAAACAAACTCACATGAACGACTTTTCTTTTGTAAATTGGTAAATATTACAAAGTTGTTTTTTGAAGTTCTATGACAAGTATTTTTATTATTCCATGCATTTCTAGAATATTGTCTATTGCTGTTTTTAAAAACATTTAAACCTATACATTATTTGGGCTTCCACAGATGTTGTATTCAGTTTTTATAATTCTTTTAGTACTTATTTAACCAGAACATAACAGTCTATCAGAATGACAAAATTGATTATGATGGTATCATTTAAATAACACCAATAAAGGAAGATTGAAATCTATCCTTGTTTGACCTCTACTGGAGGAAGCATTTCCTTAACAAATAAGATAATCAACTGTAGAACTTTCAACTTATAGCACTGTGAAGCAAAATAAGCAGTAACAGCTATAAGCACTCCAGATACTTTCTGAGCGACTGATCGGTTCAACTCTCTGTCTCCGGACGGAGAGGAACCCGAAGGAGGCTACGCCGAAGGGCTTAAGTCTCCTTCGGGAGGTAAAAATCCCTGAACCCGTTTATACGGGTTCAAATGGGTTATTTTTTGGCTGAGCCTAATGGCTCGGGAATGCCCACATTAAAAAGGCCTTGTGCCGCATGACACCCTCGTGGGTGGGTGGCTGAATATCACAGCTATAACCACCATTTAAACTACCAGTCATTTTGATTTTAATTATCTTCACACAAAGCTCTAAATTTTAAAGTTACTAGAGAAACAGTTTTGTAAGAAAAACCTTATGTAAACTATTAAAAAGGAAAAAAAAAAAAACCCCAAAAAACCAATACTTCGATAACAGAAACATGTGACACTTAAGCAAGGATATTTGTTTAACCCAATGAGTTTCTCCTGGAATCGGAATGCAGTATAATGTCTGACGATCCAACATGATGTTTTGGTTAGAGTCCACCTTCACAATTTCATTTGGCTAAGAAAAAAATAAAAACAATCATTTACAGTTAAGGTTTATGATAAAAATATTTCATTAATATAAATTTTTATATATATATATATATATATATATATATATATATGATGGTTCTACAATAAGCAATTTACATAGATGTGGTGAGTTTTGTTCTTAACCCAACCCAAGACAATCTGATGGTGGAGTTACATCAACCACTTTCAATTCGACTTACCAGTTTGCTTTAATACCATGACTTATCCAGTATGACTTTTGCTATGTGTGTGCTTGCACAGAGTATATTTATATCAGTTAAATATCTATCTCAACTCTTCAAAGCTGAGAGATATATTCATTATTTTATGGTTTACTGTCTGGGAGATATCTTCTATTACTTATCTCACTTTCAAATGTAAATGAGGTTTGAAGTGCAGTCCATGAAAAGTCAATGAAATCAAGAACAGCAGCTCATGTATGGAATGAAAAAATAATTGATAGTGAATAACATCAGAAAATATGGAGATCACTTCAATGTCATATGCAATGTTCAAATGATAAGTAAAGTAAGCATAAAAATGAACATCATATAAATGCCTATTTAAAAATTAAGTTTAAAGCTCTTAGATTTTATTACTGATTGACACTAATTCCTTTTGCAAAGTTCATTTTGATCCTTGAAGTCAGGATTTCAATCTCTGACCTAGTCAGTATACCAGCTCAACATTATAAAAGGAAATAAAATGGCAATTGTGAGTTCAGATTCTTAAGAGAAATATTGGATTTGATAAAATCAAGAGCTGGAAGCAACATAGCCACTCTTCAGTAAAAATTTACTGAATAAAATATAGAGTTATGGTAAGAGAAAAGATGACAAAATATAATGAAATATAACAAGGATGATGATTCTGGTTTAAAAGAAAAACTGAATACGAATTAGCATAAAAATATAAGAATGTCAGTATCAAAGACATCTTATCAGTGGGTAGCAAAAGTGGTAATAATACAATAGAAGATATAATTATGATGATAGCATACATAGCACAGGGATGAATCATTCAAAAGCTGAATTAGAATTATGATGATAGCAAATGTTTGTTTTTTATCAACAGCCATGAATCTGTTCATTGTTCCACACATTCATAAACACAAAATTTAATTTAGAATTAAATAAAATGCAAACTTTGTTTATCATTCAGCAACATATACACCTTTTCAGTTATTTAGAGATCTGTTTCTAGAAATCAAACTTATGGTATTAAAGTCACAGTAATTTCAGAAGAGAAAACTTTTTACTTATGTATGTTTCAGGGAAATTGTATGACAAAATGGAAAAAGTTTACTTGTGACACGTTTTGTTCTTCCGGATTTCAATGGACTAAATTTGTTAGATATGTGTGCAAAACTAATTATTAATATAGGAAACAAATGTGTATATAAAAAATAATCTATGAATAAACTATATATTTTCAATATAAAAGCAAGAAACATTGTATTGTTGGCAAATGAGACTATGGCATAACTAGTAAATTGATACAATACTTAATATAAATATTTGTCTCACTGAACAATGATCAATATTTATGGCAGTTATCATAACAAAATAAAGTGATGTTGTTACATTTACTATACAATATAAACACATAAGAGAACTTTTTACATTTACTATACAATATACACACACATAAGAGAACCTCATGATTAGATCAACTTGATCAATTTATGGAAAGTATAAAAAAGTAAAGAGAAAAAGAGCATATTTATTAGATACAAAACAGTAGATCCATTGAAATTTAATCCTTCATTGAAAAGGCAAGAGAAAATTTTTTTCATATTACTACATCAAGACTTATGCCTCAAATTGATACTAGTAGAAAAATAGGGATTTTCAAGTCAAAATATGGTGTATAAATTATAGAGAAATATAAATTTTACAAATCAACATTGAAAAAAAGAAATGCATATTAATGTTGGAAATGTAGAACATTCTGTAGAGAACTATAAAAAGATATGCAACTGGGAAATATGACTTTTGGTATTTTTAGAAAATTTTAAAAACAACTGTATACTTATCAACAAATAAATTATAACTGCAACATACGACTCTTGTGTGAGATTTTAGTTTTTATTTTTTAAATTTATAAACTAGAGGCAAATATCAAAATAACATTACTACATCATTATAGATTAACCTTGTTGCTATTTACAAAGTAATCAGTTAAATATTTGATTGCAACAAAGTTCTTACTGAAATAAATTTCATGGTAAAAGTCTACTCTTCTTTCTTCTTATAATTAATGAACTAATATTAAGCTATAAAATTTGATTAGCTGAATGTAAATATACCCATATTAAACTAAAAACTAAATGATCAATGTTCATAAATTATCAACAACTAAACTTAGTAAAATTAATGAGTATGTAAACTTACTTTTTCAAGATTACCTCAGTTTGAAAAGTTATCTCATAAAAGAATTTTATACAGTATTTTTAGATATTTAATATCAATGTTACATTTTCCTATCAAGATTAGCTCCTTTGGTAATTTTATAAAATCAGATTTTCTTTAACAGAAACAGATTTTCAAAAATAATTTCACTTCTTACAATTGGCAAAGAATTCAAAACAAGCTTATTAATTTTTGAATACAAAAATAATTTTGTAAGTAATAATCTCTCTAAATTAATGTACATATTAATTCACCTTAAAAAATTAAGGATCACTAACTACCTATTTTGATTAACTAAAAAAACTCAAAATAAAAGCAAATGGACTGATAACTTATTGCACTGAATATCATATTTTCTCATTCAGTAAAGCTTACTAATATTTTCTCGGTCGCTGAACCCTTAAATATAAGAGTATGGAGGCATTTTAATTATGAAACAACAAAAAGTCAATATTACACATTAACAATTATAAAAATCCTTGTCCATCAATTTGAAAACTAAGGATAAAAAACAAAGTAAGAAATCACTGATTAACAAAGTTTAGTTGATACTCACATAAGTATACTCCAAAGTATAAACAACCATACTCCTTGTTAAATCAAGTAATTTCATGAAATTACTTTTAAAATTTTATAACATAATAAATATACTAAAGAATATGACAATAGGCATATGTTTGAATCTACAATTTTGATAAATATTGAAAATCTGATTATGAATCAAATGAAAAGACAAATCATGAGAAGTTTTCATAAACTAAAGTTCATATAAATTACCCAAAATTCAGTACCAAGTGTGATTATAAATTAAATATAATTAGTAGGCATAATATTAAGAAATCTTAATTGAATCAAATACAGAAAACACTTGATTAATCTTCTAATTCATATTAATAATAAATTTTATTTCTTGTAAATTATTTAAATGCATACTAATTCAAACTAGCTACAAAAGACAAGCTGTTTTACTGTAGTAAATAAACAAAACTATAGAGAATTATCAAAATTTTTAATCAACTGAATTTGACATAAATGACAGAGTTATAGCATTTTATGAAAAATATTCAAATTCAAGTATCAGACATTTTTTCATAAATATATTTCACAAAACTCATGTTACCACAATGTATGCAGAACATTTAAGGAAAAAATGTTTTACATGATATAATTAGGAAAAAATGAGGAATATGAAATTGTTCAAGAATGAAGCTGCAAAGAAGGAACAAAACCCATGTTACAAAGAAATTCCCCAAGGAGTAACACCATTTTTATGTACAAATACTATCCAACTACCAAATATTGTTAAACTGCATATACTACTAATTATACACTACACTAATACAACTCTTTATACCATTAAAACCAGATAAGGAAAGTGATATTCTACCCTCAGTTAAGGTTTAATGTAGAGGCTGAGACCAAACTAAGTTGAAGTTGTTGAAGAAAAATGGAAGGAGAGACAATATCAGCAATCATCAGAATTTGATAAAACCTCGTAAAAATGCTAAAATAAACAACTTTTGTTACTTACTTTACACTCAGCAATGTCTTTGTACATTCCTGATTTCATAAATGTTTGTTTAGTGGATAAGTCTTCAACTTCATAAGCCCCCAAGTAAAACTCAGGATCAAACATATCCTGAACCATACCCCTGTAACGTACCAAACAGTTGGGCTGCAGATTGTGCAAAGGTGTGCAATTCAGTAATTTCACCTGAAAGTTTGAATAAAAAAAAATTGTAAGTTTAAAAATCTACAAGAGTAATTATGCAAAATACAGAATTATTCCCAGGTTACCAAAGAAACATGCAGTCTAGTGTTATCCTCCTGACAGAATATTAAGACAATTCTCTTAATTCCAATAAATTTTTTGATGATGGCAGTGCTTGCCTAAATTTAACATTTAGTTTTGTGGAAAGAACACATGGTAATCAATTCCATCATATACACATTACATTATTTAGATAAAATCTAGTATTTGTTACAGTTGGCAGATTCATTTTGCTTCTCTCATAAACTCTTGTATTCTATATTGTTGTAAACGATCCACTTTTCATCACCTATTGCAATGAATTAAAAAAATGTTTTTTCTTAAGATTAAGTAGTGACTCAAACACAGAAATATAGACCAGTAGGTTTGTTTTTTATTTAACTTGTGTAGGAGTAACATATCATTTGTATCAAGTTGGTGCAAATGATTTTCAATATTTGATTTGGATATTTTGGTTATTCCCATATTGAGTATTCTCCAGGTTTTCATTTGATTCATTTATTAGAATCAACTTTAATTTGGTTAATTGACCACAGAAAATTGTTCTGTAAGAAATCTCTAGTACAAACTTTGCAAAACACTTATGAAAAATTCACTCATTCCCGCACATTATTACTGCAATATCACGGAAAATGCCCCTAATTTTTGGTGAATAGCGATTTATTTTGTGTATTGATTTAGTAGAGGAGGCTAGTTTTGTTTTCTTTCATATATTTGCATTTATCTATTTTTTGAATAAATGCATAGAAAATATTGTTGTATAATTCAATCAGAAAGTTCAACATTTTACCAAATCATGTATTAACAAAATTTAAAGAATCTCAAGCAATAATTGATAATTTTTGTAATATTTTTCACATCTACAAATATTGACTTTTGTTTTACAGAAGATGAAAAGAAAAAAAAACAAAACACTTTTTTGTTCAATGATAATAAAAAATAATAGTTTTAGTAATAATTATAATCAATTTACATTAATAAGAACACAAAATTAACACTAAAGCAAAAAGTAATAGTAGTATACAGATATACAGCCAAGGAATTGATGTCTAGTGTGGCAGACACTATGCATGCAATTCTATGAATGAAAGTAAATGTATCCCAATTCATGACTGTGCTCATAAATGATGTAATGAATATGCATACACCTGGGTTCCCCCTCATTGGCTGGTGTCAGCCATAAATACAGACTGATATGGATGTACAAGGGATGCCTATTGCCTATCACTACGATGAGGACCAGTCCATTACAGTTACCTGCTAGATAGTTCTACTCAGTTACAGTAGTCCAAAACCACTTTGCTACTTCGAACAAATACATCCCTTTACAGGACATATCAATAAATGAATCTACAGATATAACCAACAAATGCCTTGTCATGTATGTTCAAATTATTGATCCAGTGTCACTTTATCAACATACTCATTTTGTTGCAAATGAAGGGCATGATGATACAACTGGTGTGGGAATTGCAAAATGCATCCAGGAAATGATGTCAGAACTGGAAATCCCATTAAACAAAATAGTGAGCATGGGATTAGATGAGGTTGCAGTAACAATATAAAAAAAAAAAAGCTTCAATTAGATACTACTTAGATGAATGTGCACTGTGTTGTTCATTCTCTGGTCTTGTGCACATGTCAAGCATCAGATTCAATAGATCTCAAAAAGCATAAGCAGATACTAACTGATCAGTTTTATTACATCTGTGCTACTCCCAAACAAGCAGCCAAAACAAAAAATATGTACAAAAACTACAGAAAGACTCAGTGCTCAAGATCTGCATTCTATTCAATGGCTATCATACTACAATGCTCTTCAAACTGAGCACAGGACAACTGATAGTCTGTTGATGAACCTCACTGATCTCAGTAAAGACCTAAAAATAAAATTTCAAAAGAAAAATTCATCAACATCACAGCTCCAATGATGGATACCATGACCCTTGTTAGCCTTATCCTATTTCTTGCAAATAGAAAATGTAGATATGGCTTTAGTAAGTGCCATCAAGGATCTGGAAACGATCAAGGAAATGACAGTATTAACCAGAGACATCCAGACATCAGATTACAAATACTACAAATTAAACTAAGTACAAATGACTATTAAAAGGATGAAAAATTTTGATATCACACTGGCAGGTCTCCCCGCTCCCCCGCCAAATCACATCCCAGAGTTCCAAATATAAGTGTTTTTTTTTTTCTCAAGACTTAGCATTTTGTTACAGAAAAAATATTTTTCTTTGAATTTCCTAAAAGTTAGAGATTAGTTAGCAGGGGCAGTGCTACCTCTGAACCCCTAATTAGGGGTCCCCAGGCATTACTTTGTGACCTTCACTATCTTATCAATATTTGATTTTTCTATCTACATTTATATATGCTACAAATTAAACTAAGCACAACTGACTATTAAAAGGATAAAAAATTTTGATATCGCACTGGCAGGTCTCCCCCCTCCCCCACCAAATCCATGAATTTGTTTTACTCATGCTAAGTCTTGAGAAAAAAAAAAAAAAAAAACACTACATAAAGTTTACTATGTGAAAATTATTCAATTTTTTAACAAGAAAATTGCCACAAAACATTGATTTATGCTTTTTGAAACCTAGCATGAGCAAAACAAATTCATGGATTTGGACAAAAGAAAAGAAAAAAATAATGTCAAAATTGTTGAAAATTTTTTATCCTTTAATAGTTAGTTAACCTTAGTTTAACTTGTAACATGTATAAATGTAGGTAGAAAAAAAAGTAAATGTTGATAAGATAAGGGTTACAAAACACAGCCCAGAGTTCCAAATCGGACTCACCACACACTGAACCTGATTGAGAAAGTTCTATATCAAAAAGCCAAAACTTTGACAATTATATAAAAGTAACAAAACAAAGAACAGTATCTTTGGCACTTTGAAAGTATTTTATATAAAGTAATGGTTATGATGCTGGCTTCATAAGCACCTAATACAAAGTTCATTCCTTACAAAATACTCTTTTCTAAGATTTGATACAGATGAATCAAAGGGATCAAACCTAGTTCTTATGGCTAATTGTCAGATTATTTTATTTTTAATCTTGTGTTTAATGAAAATATACTAAACAATTAGAAATTTAGAGGTTATTTTAATACTAAACAATCTAATGCTGAAATTAGGTAAAAATATATCTTCTATTTTAAAGCAATGTATTTAATAATTATGTCAAATACCTCAGATTTTTTTGAAAGACAAATAAAACCTAAGAGAAGTAAATGAATTTGTTATACTGTAACAATGATCCATGTTAATGCACAGAAAATTAAGAAAATCATTATTGTTTTAGTACATGAGAAATTTTTAAAAATATTATATATGCTATACTACTTTAATCAAGATCTCTTTCTGATTCACAAATACACTTCACCAGACATGTCAGACAGCAAAACCCAAAATAAAAAACTTGTCTCCTGCATAGGTGTTCTGAGCATCACATCTGGTCCACAAAACAAATCTCTGCAAAAAGCTAATCACAAATGTTGCCACAAAAGGAAGAAGAAAGAAAAAAAAAAGGTATAAGCTTGGAAGCCAGCACCTGTTAAACCACAGATATAAAAATAGTATGCCTCGTCGACAATAGGCAGTACAGCCCCAAACCTCGACCTCATCACCACTGGTATCAATTTCAACCCCACCAATGTTCCTCCCACTCATGCTACCATGTGGCTACACTTAATCTACTCCAGGCCTCTCTTGTCATCACCGCCATGACCTTGGTTGTCAACCTAACAAATCCATCAACTCACTGCCTTACCAACAACATCCTTATACACCCAATTGCTTCCCTTACAAATGACAACTAAAGAACCACAAATCAACAATTTTGTTATCCTTTCACAGGCTGGTTATTTTGGTTTTTGTTTGATTTCCCATTCGACCCGTATTTAACAAAGACATTGCCCTGGATCAAGCTTCACTTATCCACTTCAGGCCTCTCTCATCATTACCATCATGACCTTATCAGGCTTTACATGGAGCAACCCCGCCAACAACACTTCTCCCTTGCTACCAACCGCATGAACCTCACAAACTCATATTGGTGTATCCACACCAAATAAGTACTTTTTTTACACAACTGCATATGCTGGCATTCAGTATCCTGCATGTATTCTGAAAACTGAATATACACTGTTGAAATTTTAATCCTTGTTTGTTCTTTCCTTTGCAACTGTTATATTAAGTGTTTAGTAAGTGAGAGAAAGGAATAACGATGAATAGAGTGAAACAACGTTTACTGATGATAGAGATTAAAGGAATAACAAACTCGTGTAAGCATAATGTCAGAAGTTGACCCATTTCTTGTGCCAGCGTGGCTAAGGTCACGGGATATGGTTGGTGCACATTTGGTTAATTAAGATCGCTGTGATAGGTTGCTTGTTAGTTGGAAGAGCTGATATGTTGAACCGAGGTAACATCGGTTTGGTATGGTTTTGGTAGGCCCGTTCTGTGGAGCAGCGGTTGCTGGTGTCGACTGTAAAGGGAAAGCCTTGAAAATGAGTCAATGTAGGCCGAGGTGACAGCGGGGTTGGTATTGATGAAGGCTTGTAGCTGGGAGGAATCAAGTTTATGTTTCGAATTGAAGCTAGATAGCTGAGGTGTCAAACCAGGAAGTGGTCGTTGAGATGTGCTGTCATGTCGAGTGGTGGAGGTGGCAACAGTGGTAGTAGTGCTCTGCGTGATGGCCGGTCCACAACTCTTGTCATGATGATGAGGTCATGGTAGCAGAAGCAGCACCGGACTGCAACTGTTTTCACGTCATTCTCAGAGGCTTTTAAGCAGGTCTGGTAGTCCCCAGGGGCATCTCCCTCACCAGCAGGAATGATCACAATTGGCCACTGCTGGAGCTTACCTCGTAGACTGGATGTGATGCATGGAACCCAATGCGCAGAATGAATCAGAATGAGATCTAATTGCGACAGAGTAACACAATCGTTTTCATTATAACACATATCATTTTTATAAAGACAATGGAAAAAAACAAAAGGACTATGTTTGTGAAATATTACATTTTCAGTGTTTTCTATCAAAAATGAGATAAAAAAAAAAAAAAAAAAAAACTTTATTACATACTTGAGAAGCCACGTTAGTTTTTTCTAATTCTTTACTGAAATATTCTGATACTTCTATTGAATCAAGTTTCCCTCGTCGATCTGCAAATAAAAGGAAAAAAAAAGGAAAATTAAAAAATAAAAAATTGATAAATAAACCATTTCAGTTTATTAGAAATCAAAACATTAGACATTGATATTATTGTCAAGTAGTAAACTGGTCTCCTCAAATCTGTTCTAAGTTCATTGATAAATTGCTTTTTTTTTTTTAATCAATTAATGCATATAAAAGATTTACATGTGGATACATCACTAGAATTTTCTGTACATTTGGAAGTATATAATTCCAAAGTGAATGATTGATAAAAATCACAACCAGAGGTCAAAGTTAAATATAACTGTACAGTAGTTAGGTGAATTATATGGATAAACTAGATAATTACTCATTTTAATATCAATATGTATTGCTAATTTTTCATAATTTCTATTTACACACTTACTTTGTGATTGTATACTTATAAAATTGATAAAAAGCAGATTGAAAGCAAAAAAAAAAAAAAAAAAAATGATGATGATACTACAAAGTGTAAAATTTGTATTCTTTATGGAAAGATAACTTTTGCTATATATTTAGTGAACAATATTCTTTTGAAAATGAAAAAAAAAAAATCACAGTTTATTGCTTGTTAAACAGTGAACCTGCTTTTAAGTTACTTTTATGTTTTAAATTGTACAATGAACAAAAGAGATTCAAATTTTAATATTAGTGCATAAGAAAAATGTATTTCATTTGAAATTCATTCTTACATGTTCCAATAGAATTATGTTTCCACTATATGGGAATCTATCATTGAATGTATTAAGTTGCAATAATACATTTGTCAAACCCTTTTCAAATTCATCTCTATAAATCTGTAACACCGTATTCTCACCCCACTAGACCCACGCACTCCACAAGACTGGCCGTTGGTCCAGTATTATAGGTTAGACACAAGTCTCTGGTTCCCAAAGTCAATTCAAAGCCACCCTCCAGCCACGTTGTGATATTTTTGATCCTGGAGAGTGGTCATCAGATCGTAGAAATCTGAAAGTTCCCCATTGGTTCACCTGTGAGTTTGTCAGGTGAGAATTGGGTTAACAGAAAAAATAAATAACCAAGTCGATTCAGTTTTGAAAGGACAAAAGGTTTTTTTTATATATAAAAGCAAAAACACATATACACACACACAAAAAATTCTTGTTGCACAAGGTTGAATGATTCTTGTATGTGAACAATAACCAAACAAACAAAATACTTTGAATAATTTTGGTAAGGAGAGATGTGGCCGTTGTTTTAACCCTTTTTGGTCTGTTCTTAGTGCAACTACTACAACCTTCAATGTTCCCATACTCGGTAGACATAATAGTAGTGGTAGTATTCGTAGTAGCAGTACCTAGATGTTAGCAGTGGTAATTCGCTCTTTGCCTCCCATTCAGCAGCATCTGTGTAGAGTTAATTATATGAAAAGTATGTTTATTAATTGGAAATAAATAAATTAAAAATTTGTATGTGTACAAATATTTGTCCCCCCATCCCACTGTGTGTGTATGTATTCAAAAATTGTTTTGTTTGTTCTGATGAACAGAATTCCATACAAGAAACAGAGTAGATACAGGATGATTTCTTCATTGACTTGCATTCAGCTGCGACTTAGAATATCATAGACTACTTGATATTTTGTTTTTTTTACTTATACTCCATGCAGAGATGTCATAGTAAATACAAAATGTGCAGAAATATTTAACAGAAAAATGCTCAGCTCAATCCTAAAGTGTGATACTTGAAGAATATAAATTTCTAATTACTTAATAACTATACATACTTAAAAGATTAATAATTTGGTATACAATTTGGCTGTACAATTTTTATCTTTGTCTATAAGGACAAATTTCTCAGTGGATAAAAGTGTTCAATACCTGGCTATAGCAGAGGTGAACAAAACCTCACAGAGTTGTCACTAAAGGGAAATAACTGAAATGGAGATATCCAAAAAAGCATAGCACATGGAACAAGAACAATTTAACCAGACAAAATAAAGGATTTGGTTCAAATTTCCAATGTATATCACATGAAGAAGGCTGAAGTGTACAATGGCTGAAATGTTGAAAATATGACAATAAAAATGAAGACAACAGTCCAAACACTGTAACTAGTATAAATAGTTACAATGTCTCATCTCAGAAATATAGACAGATCCATAAATTATTAATTAAATTGTATTTGAAGCTGGTATCCATTTAGTAGGCATATTGTATATCAGAGAGAATGAATACATTGAAAAACTCTTCCACAATAGAAGAGGACAACCTGGAATAATAGAAATATTAACATCTGAAGTTAAATCAGTACTGGACAAATTGAAGAACAAAGGAGCAGAATTGTAATAGAGATGTGTGCAAATTCAGGTGATTTTTGTTTTGATCTAATAAATGAAATTTACAACAATGGTGATATACTGGATGATCTAAGATTCATTTTTATAGTGCTGCCTAGGAAATGAATGCCAACTACATTGGATAATTAGTCTAATGAGCCATATAACAAAACTGATGAACAGAGTGCACTGCAGAATTAGACAAGAAGTGTGGTTTTGTTAAAAACACTAGAACAATGAATGCAATATTTACACTCATTATCATATCAAAAAGAGCAATGCAAAAGGGTGTATATCTAAGCTTCATAGATTATGCAAAAGCATTTGATAAAGTACATCACATAGAACAGTTGGAACTACTAGGTAAGTTTAATTTGTCTGGGAAGGATATTAGAATAATACAGAACTTAGAGTAAACTGCCTGCATGTGAATAGAAAATGAGTTCAGTAAGTATACAAAAATAGAAAGAGTTACAAGGATGTGTCTTCTTCCCCACGGAACTTATTCAAACCTATACAGTGAGGAGATTCTGAGAGAAATAGAAGTCCTACCAGGATTTATTAGTGGCAGTCACAATTTTAATATTAGATATGCAGATGACACAGTGTTAATAGCAGATACAGAAAAGAAACTACAAGAACTGGCAGAAGGTAGTAAAGGGAAGTGAGAAGAAACATCAACTGTAAGAAAAAATCTATGGTTGTCAGCAAATTACATATTAGAGATACCAAAATAAAACAAGTACAGAAAGTTAAAGCGTTTTAACAGAAGATCTAAGATTCTAACAGGGTCACTGAAAGTAGTAGCAATAGAGGGGCATGTCTCTTTGTAATAAATTGGATTTGTCACCTCTCTTGAAAATTTTGCTAGTGAAATTTGAAACAAATGTAAACAAATGTAAATATTGTATTGTTTATGAAGAAAGACTTTAAAATCTATACAAATTAAAATTTTGTAAAATGAATGCATTCAACAGATTCAAATTATTTTACTAATTTTAAATCAAATTTTACTAAGATCTAAGATAAGACAGAAAATGTGAGACCAAAATCTGATGGTGCATGGAGATAGTGAAAGATGCCTTCCAAAAGGCTAAACAAAGTATTAAGAAACAGGAAAGTTTCATTAGAAACCAAGAAAAGAGTACTGAACTGTTATCTAACATCAGGCCTCCTACATAGTAGTGAATGCTAAATAATCTCCTTGCAGATGAAGAAACTCGAAGCAACAGAAATGTGGTTCTACAGAAGGATTGTGAGCAACTATAACGTTTTAGAAAAATGGAAACAAAAAGCTTATTTATACTTATCAGAAAAAGATAGTTGAAATTTCTAGGGCAGAAGAAGGAAAGAGGGCCTGGAAAATTTGACACTCACAGGACATGATGGGAAGAGTGACAGAGGAAAGCAGTGCATAGCCTACCTAATGAGTTTTTGTAAATGGTTGACAGAACAGAGATTAGGAGAAATAGTAAAAAGACAAATTTTACTAAGGGCTACAAAGGACAGAAAATTGTGGAGAACCATGATCGCCCACATCTTGAAGGGACACAGCACATAGAAGTTCTAATAAGTCTGCTATAATTTGAATCTGTCAAATGTATTCATTTTACAAAATTTTAATTTGTATAGATTTTAAAGTTTTTCTTCATAAACAATATTTACATTGTCTAGTTTGGATTCTAGATGAGTAAATTTGTTTCAAATTTCACTAGCAAAATTTTCAAGAGAGGTGACAAATCCAATTTATTACAAAGAGACATGCCCTTCTATTGCTACTACTTTCAGTGACCATATTATATATATGTACATAAGTGTGTGTGTGTGCATGTGCTTGCAGGATGTGTAATAGTATCCAAAGCAAAAGTGAAGATAACGAGAAAATATAGGGATATAAATGACACATTTTGCCGAGAGCATCTGCTCTCTTTGGCTTACTCAGGTCAGAATAAAAGAAAGACAAAACTGTAGGTAAGGAAAACCATTTGGGAATTTCTGAGGATAAGTGGGAGCCAGAAATCAAATTACTATATCGCATCTATGGCTAGACCCCAGATAGTGTGTCTGTCTGTGTCTGGTTGCTTGCTATATATATATATATATATATATATATATATATATATATATGTATGTATGCATGTATGTGTGTGGGGGGGAGGGGCACTATCAACATGATTTTTGCCTTACATCAGGTTGCAGAGAAGGTTCATGAGTAAAACAAGGAGCTATTTATGGTATTTGTGGACCATACTTAGGCCTTTGATACTGTAAACAGAGAAGCACTCTGGAAAGTTCTGAAGAAACTTGGTATTCCTGACAATACGTTGAATGTCATCATGTCGGAATGCAAGCTAGTGTTATATCTGATGGTCAGTATTCTGATCCATTTGATGTCACTAATGGAAATAAGCAAGGCTGTGTCATGGCACCTGTTTTGTTTGCACTTTTCTTCTCAGTGATGCTTTTCGGGATACAAAAACTGGTGTTAAATTTTGTTTTCAAACTAATGGAGGACTGTTTAACCATGAACAGTTTAAGTCTAAAACACTTCTACATTATTATTAGTATTATATGCAATTTTGCAGACAACAATGCCCTTGTAGCTAACTCTTTAGAGGAAGCTAAAGATTTACTCAACCAGTTTTCTGCAGCACGCAAGGCATTCGGACTTACCATCAGCATTAAGAA